TTAAGTTATCGCTCGACTCTCATGTTCGCCGTGGCGATCGAGCTCGAGTCCCCGAGGTTCGTAGTGCGGTGCTGTGATTGCCACCCGTCCTTGATTTTTCCCGAAGGTCGCCCTCTGTTTTTGAGGGTAGCTGCTGTCCTTGGAAATCTGTGCAAGTCTTGCCGGGGCAAACTTTCGTTTTTTCTCATTCCCATGTCGTTTTTCATTATATGCCACAGTGTTTTGTCCTTCATCGATGGAAACTGTACGCAGTGCGCCAAACCACTACGCCACCGCTCCTCGGCTCGCCCACAGATGCACACTCGCACGAAAAACAACACTTGTCATCTGACCGCGACGCGTAGCCCCCAAAACAGAGGCGCGTGGGCGCGTTACGCACGCGGTAGCCGCCCGCGTGGCTACCCCTGTAACGAGAGACCCACTTCGTCTCACGAGGCTCGGTGTTCATGCGCGCACACACACACACGTACAAAGATCCCCCTTATAGCCCGAACAGACTGTTGGGGCAAGTGCTGTTAGCGATCACCTATGAAGGCCGGCACGGTGGGGGCGGGGTAGGGGGGGGGCAGCACCAAGCCTGACCGCCTTTGTCTCCCTCGTGCCGATGTTTACACACCACACCAGCCCAGGACCAGTTCAAATAATCGTCGCTGGTGTTGGCCGTGAGCGGGAATCTAACTCGGGTCGCCGGACTCGTAGCGCAGCGCGCTGACCGCTACACCACCGTTCCCCTAACACACACGTCAGTTTAACACGTGGTAGGCTTTCGCGACCAATATCATCCATAATAGAGGTTTTTTGGGTTGGATCGCGTACAAAGACGAGCACAAAGATCCCCTCGTATAGCCCTTACAGACTTTTGAGGCAAGTGCTGTTCGCGAGCACCTAATGAAGGTTGGCATGGCACACGAGGGGGTGGGTGGCCAGCACCTGGTCTCTTAAGTTCTTAACCTGGTTAAACAAAAATAAACTTGACGGTCAAACAACCCCCAATGGCCGTCACAGCATGGGGGGGAGGGGGGCTTTATCCAGCGGTGGATTGGCCATGGGTTGGAAATTATCGTCATACCAATAATAATAATATATCTGCTTTGTCGTATAGGCTATAGTTTGAGCAGCTTGAATCCAAATCCTCGTTCACCAGGTCCACCGCCGACAGCAGGAACATTCAACGCCTGGGCGGGACATCTCTGACGAGAATTGAGCCTGCATCTCAATCAGTGGCCACCGAACGAGAGCCTTCCTAATCAGTGGGGGCGAGGTGCCTCGCCAAGTCGTCCCCACTGCTGATTGTGTGCTCCACAATCCTAAGGCCCTGGTCGAATCAAGTTAATGTTAGCACAGGGGACGGGGGAAGCATGGTGGTGATTGGGCGCTAATAAGAGTTATCAGTCACTCGGCTGATAACGTTACAAATGCGTCTGCCGGTTGTGTTGCCTTGTCCTCTCGAAGTAGTTGTGTGCACCAGCAAATCTCTCATCAGAGATGATGATATGTTCACCTCAACCATTATCCCTCTCCAGGGTTCAAATTAAACTGGTTACCGCAATTTCGTAGGCCTTCATGGTGGCGATTAATCATTTGTCCGTCTCGCGAATCTGTGTTGATGTTTAGTTGATGTAAAAAAAACACTGCTCTTAAGTCCTTCAGCTATACCTGTTTGATAAAGTCTATACATATTTCGATTTAAAGCTTTCGTGACTGCAGGGATTCATCTTCTTGGTTCTTTCAGTAAAGTCACGTAGAAGGGAAGTAATAAAATAATAAAAATAAAACATAATAAAATAATTCTCACGACGTTTCGGCCACAACGCAAGCAGCCGTCCTCTTCACCTGAGGACGGCTGCTTGCGTTGTGGCCGAAACGTCGTGAGAATTATTTTATTATGTTTTATTTTTATTATTTTATTACTTCCCTTCTACGTGACTTTACCGAAAGAACCAAGAAGATCTATACATATTGTCATTGCTTGGATGAACTGTTGGGGATATGTTCTGTTAGTAAGCACCTATTAAGACCAGCATGGCACCAGCAGGAAGTAGTAGCGACCCGCAGCACGCATGGCACACCAGTCAACCTTTTCACTCATCATTGCTCATGCTCGCACACTCGAACAGGATTCCTGCCGTGTTATTGTTTTGCCGCCGGCCTGTATCTCCCCACCGCTTGCGCAAAGGCTTCGCCAATACTCTTCCGCTTCTTCCTGTCCGTCGTTGCTGCTGCCCCGTCGTGGCGTTTGGACTCTCTGATCTCATCCCTGCCACCCCTGCCCTCTCTCGCGCCCATCTTCATCCATTTCTCTTTCCTCCTCCACGCCTCCCGTAGGTGAACCCCGCTCCTCCCGTGGGGGGTGGGGGGGAGGGGGGCGAGCTCTGTATCCGGTCGCAAATGCCAGGTGACTCGAATCTTGCACGGGCCGCGCATGTGTGCGCGTGTTTTATAATCCGGGTAGCCCCCCGCTTGGCAGTCGATTGTGAGGCACCACCCCCCCCCCCCACCCACCACCAACACCCATTCAGGAATTTAGACAGCGCTGGAGATTTTCAAAGAGCATCCAAGCAAAAGACCCACGCGTTTGCCAGACGCGTGGCCTCAAAATAAAGTCTCCTGCAACAGCGAAATGCACTGCCCGTGCCGACCTCGCGTCCATTACGACGCTCATTGTCCTGTGTTTTGGAGCCGTTATCGTGTGTTGTGACTGTCTTGCGCACGTGCGTGTTGTACATGTGCGTGTGTGTATCGGGAGCAGAAGTGTAGCGGTTGGCGCGCTGCTCCTATGACCCGAGTTCGATTGCTGGACGCGACCAATAACAGTGTCGAATATTTTACCCAGTCCTGGGCCTCTCCTAGGTCTACTCGGCCTTAAATTAGAACCCGGTGCGGTGTGTTAACGTCAGCATTGGGGAGTCGAAGACAGCCAGCAAGGTGTTGACTAGCTACCCCCTCGTGTGCCGTGCCGGTCTTCATCAGTGCTCGCTCAACAGCACTTGCCCCAAGAGTGTTGTAGGCTATACGGGGGATCTTTGTCTTTGTGTGTGGGTGTGTATATATTCCACACACTGCCGAAGTTTTTATGAGATGTGATGCACCGTAGTTGAATTTTTAATATAACAACTGTTTTAGGAATTTCTAGTTTGTAAGAAAATATTATACCTTGTATTATTGGAATAACGATACCCTAAGCTTATCCTGGGAATGCCTCACTGAGTCTCAAGACTCGGCGAGATTTTTATTGCGAATGTAATTCCTTGGAAGCTGCAAAACCCAGTTAGCCTGGTGGGCTGCAGGAGGGAAAGACATTTTTACGTGACGTTTCGCATACATCGTGATGTAGCCAAGTTTGGCTCTACTGCATCTTCATAATAATAATGATGCCTTCTATTTACCCAGGTAAAGGCCTCATTTGAGTGGGGTTTTTTTTCATGGGAATCCTGTATTGGGGTCTTTAGCCAATTCTGTTAATGTGGCGTTTGGCATGCAGGAAGAAACTAAAGTTCCTTGGAAACCCACATATGCGGAGATGGCACTCAAATCACCGCACAGAGGGATTGGGTCCACCTGCCGCACTTCCATTTGCCGTACTTGATCTAGCAGTGGACAGGTCAGCGCAGAGGATGAGGCAATTGTGTTGCTCACAAGTAACGTAATGCCTTCCTTCCATGTCCTGTATTTAAACCAGATGAGAGTCCATCGAGGGAAGATGTGGAAAAATGACAGAATGTGCTCTCATGCAAAGCCCTGCGTCACATTAACGCGCACTCTCTCTAATCCGCTCGGGGCGACGCAGATCTTGGAGCGCGAAACTCGCGATCGCGAGGTTTTGATTTTAAATCCCGGCCCAGCAGTTCTCGACTCGGTCAATTGGAGGGCACCGCTTTGTGAAAAAAATTCAGCGGTTGTCCTGCAGTGGAATGACGCCTCCTCGCCATAGGAATGTGTAATTTCCACTGCTGGATCAGAGGCTGTAAATGGGAGGTGAGGTGCAGCTGGACGCGTGCTCGAGTGGGAAACCCCACTGCAGTTTGTTGAGTAAATGGGATTTAGTTGGAAGGGGCCGTTCATAAATGACGTCACGCATCTTGAGGGGGGGGGGGGGGAGTGTCAGACATTTGTGACGATGTGTGACGAGGGGGGGAGGGGGGGTTGAGAAATGTGACGTCACATCAAAATGCGCAACTTTAAATAAATATAGAATTGGTGTAACAACACTCCTACAACATCAGAGTGCAACGCCACATTAAATACGCACTGCAATGACAATGGTTTAAATCGATTTGAAGCATGTTTTATTTTCAAAATGGAAATGTGGTTGGGGGGGGGGGTGGCAGAGCTTTGTGATGTCATTTGAGGGGGGGGGTCTGACTTTTTGTGACGCTGTGTGACGAGGGGGGGGGGGGTAAAAAATCGTCCAAAATCGCGTAACGTCATTTATGGACGGCCTCAAAGTCTCTGCCTGTGTGTGCTGTTGAGCTCTATGCCTTTTTGTGGCTTAACACGCAGCCTCTGCCCTGCTGGTTTTACCTTTTGTAAGGGAGACCTCCAGTGTGCTGCTCTCCTGAGCCCTCAAGGGGGGGGGGGGGGGGCACAGCCTTTGAGTGTTAATTAAGATTCGTCTCTTTGGCGTCTCCCAGGTCAGTCGCCTGTGATTGTAAACCGGGTTCTCGGGTGGAGTGAGTCGATCCTCGGAGCTCGAGCCAAATGACAGCAACAAAGACCATCGCCTCAAAAATGTCGATTTTTTTTTCACATAATTTGGATACATTAATTTGATAACAATAAAAAATGTTGTGCTTGATATTTTGGCAATGGAGCATTTCTTTGTTGCAGGTGGCAGAGTGCACTTGCTTGTGTATGAACAAGAGGATGTTTGTAAAGGGATCCTGCGATATTGCCTACCACAAGGGGTTGTCACTGCTCTGATTGATGTGACAATCGTAATTAAAAAAGATGTTTTTATGAACTTTCATCAAACCTCGCCTCTTCTCCCCCCCCACCCACAGGCCTCTCCAGCCGCTTCCCAAGCGTCAAGTCCCTGAGTGCGACCTCAGGACTCGGTGCTTCCATCGCCCGGAGCCAGTCCTTCAGCGGATTCTACGCCCTCAACGAGCTGGCGATGCACCGGTGGGCAGAGTCGCTACAAAATCTAAAGACAAAGATCCCCCGTATAGCCCCAACAGATTGTTGGGGCAAGTGCTGTTAGCGAGCACCTATCGAGGCCGGCACGGCACACTAGAGGGTGGCTGGCCAGCACCACGCCCGGCCGCCTTTGTCTCCCTAGTGGCGATGTTTACACACCGCACCGGGTACTCATTTGAGGCTGAGTCGACCTAGGGGAGGCCCGGGACCGGTTCAGATAAAATCATCACTGTTGGTGTTGGCCGTGAGCGGGAATCGAACTCTGGTCACCAGGTTCACAGCGAAGGGCACTAACCGCTACACTACTGCTCCACACGAGTCGCTATGCCCACACCAGCCTCCTGTTCATGAGCACTGGGAGCTGTGAGCTGAGCTCGTTAGCACCGAGCAGAGGTCGCAACCGGGTACCCAATACCCGTACCCTACCCGATACCCGGCTACCCGTACCCGGCCGGGTACGGGTACCCGTTTGTGACCCTGGTGCGGCCGGGTACGGGGAGGCTGTGAGTCACTGGTGAGTAACCGTTTGTCACTCATTTCCCAACGTCTTGTCTCTTCTCACAATTCAAGTTCCTAGAATCAACCCACCCGCACCTGCAACATGGCTTCATCCCAGAGGTCGCAATCAGGTACCCGATACCCGTACCCTACCCGTACCCAGCCGGGTACGGGTAGGGTACGGGTATGGCCGGATACGGGTACGGGTACCCGTTTGCGACCCTGGTTTGGCCGGGTACGGGTAAGGAATCACAACCCGTTTGCGACCTCTGGCACCGATACAGAAACGCCGCATAGACACGTGGACCAGAGAACATACGCCAGTTTGACAGGACGCTTCGATAGAAGGGGGTCGAGACCAACAATAGAGTTGCAGTCAACGAAGGGAATGTGCCTAAGCGGATATCCACTGCAGGCATCGAGCGATGAAATTGGATTGTGTAGGAGCTCGAGGAATGTTTTCGTCGCGAAACCTTGAGAGATGGCGATAGTCAACAGGTCGTATAACGGTGATGATGATTGTGATGATAATGAAATGGATCATTTTAAAAATAATGGGAGGATTTATTGAAGGAATTCACCTAATGTGTTGGTGCATTTGCTTGTTCATCAACCACCTGTTAATCCAAAAAAAACAACCTTCATTAAACCACCATCCATTTCCTCCCAACTTAATAGGCATGCGGACCTCATTCCAGGCAGGAATAGACAGCAGGCAGAGATTCAGCGCAACGAGATTTTGCGGCAATCGCCGAGACGGCGCCGAGAGATCGGAAGAGTCGGCAGGAACTCGCGTCGGACGGCTCGTGCGGAGGTGCGTAATGACGGTGACGGTGGCAGGCGCACTAACACCGCTCGTCCCCGGCTGCAGGTCGCACCTGGCCGCGCCGTGCCGCTCTCCCGTGGGCCTGCGCCGCGTGTTCAGCTCGGCGGGGAAGGCGGCGGGGGCGTCGCCGGCGTGCGGGCCCCAGCCTGAGCGCGTCGAGGAGCTGTACGCCTCGCTCAAGCGCGGCCTCGGGTACGGCCACACGTGACCCTTGACTGCCTCACTCCTCCCTAAACACGTGACCCTTCATTGCCTAGCTCCTCCCTAAACACGTGACCCTCCACTGCCTCCCCCCTCCCTCCTACACACGTGACCCTTCACTGCCTAGCTCCACCCTCCACACGTGACCCTCACTACCTCGCTCCTCCCTCCACACGTGACCCCTCACTACCTAGCTCCTCCCTCCACACGTGACCCCTCCACTGCCTCGCTCCTCCCTACACACGTGACCTCTCACTACCTAGCTCCTCCCTACACACGTGACCCCTTTCACTGCCTCGCTCCTCCCTCCACACGTGACCCCTTTCACTGCCTCGCTCCTCCCTCCACACGTGGCCCTTGACTGCCTCGCTCCTCCCCCTACACACGTGACCCTTCACTGCCTCGCCCCTCCCTCCACACGTGACCCCCTCACTGCCTAGCTCCTCCCCATAAACACGTGACCCCCTCACTGCCTAGCTCCTCCCTCCACACGTGACCTCTCACTGTCGTGTAAACTCACTGCAGTGCACGAATAACACAATTGTGTGTGTGTGCCCTGCAGGGAATACCTTGACTCGTACCACAGTGAGCTGAGCACCCTTAACGCTCAGCTGACTGGGGTGAAAAGAAACTCACGTCTGGTGAGGCCCTCACCCCACTTCTCTATTAACTTAAAACAACACGTCGCACTGCGGCTTCAAGGATCGGGGGTCAGAGGACCTGAGCTGGCAATGCTGAGATCCTGGGTTTGATCTCTGGTTTTCTGCTTCCTATAGTCACATTGATTGATAGGTTCAGCCCAGCCACAATATGGCTCCACAGCCAACCAGATGCGAAATTCAATTCGGGTTTGGACTTCATTGGGTGAAATTCCGTCTCTGACAACCAACGGTATGACTTTGAATTCCTTGCGGTGGACGCTTCTCTGGAACCGGCCGAGTAACAAGTACATCTCCAAGTGTCTGAATAAGAGTTCACTGGAAGGTGATTCAGAAGCTTTGCGAGAGGTTCCAAACGGACGAGGTCTTATGCCATGATGACAGAGAGAGCACGATTGTGATTTGCCGGTCATACTTAGACGATGTTTCCTCCCACTTGAAGTTTTTCAGGCGCTTCTGCTCACTCGCATGTCAGGCTATTGCTGGGACAGGCGGATGAGGTTTGAACATACACACAATGCACACATCTCATTTTATGGGGCAGAGCGGTGGCTAGGCCAAGCGGTATCGCATTTTGCTGTTTGTTACTACACTGGTTTACGGTTCAACTGGATACGCCGCCTGCTTCACAGTGAACACGAAAGATCTCATGACGTCATTAAAAGCAAAATAGTAGCGGGCCACGGGTGCTGCCCTTTCGGTCGAAAATTGGCGAGATCTGAAAATGACCGACAGGTCACCAGATTGCGTAAAGCCACATGGGAACATTGCCTCTAACTGTGACACCACTTTGGACTATAAGCGTCTGTGAAACGTCGCGCCTTTGTGATAGCCTAGCGCTCCACGAATGACGCAAATACCAAATGTATGAATGTTTTATTAATTAAAATTTTCAGTTGTGTAAAATTTGAATTGCCGGACAAGGGCCTGAAGCAGGATTGGGGTTGAGCAAGTCGAGCCACTAACGGAGCCACCCGTGCTGGCTCCAAGTATTTGTGTAACTTGTGTTCGATTTTCTTTCCAACAGGGCTTCTGCTATGACATGGAGAAGGTGTGTAAAAAAAAAAATAAAAATACTCCACACATTAATAACACCATGCAAGCACGTACATTTTCAGCGGAACCGATAAAGATTTCCGATGCACGAGGAGCAGTGTTGGGTGCAAAGTTTATATCGGCATCTGTTATTTTCTGAAAAATCTTAGTCTCATCGATGACAAGCTGACGTTATTCGAGGCCGACACTGTGGATTGTACGTAGCCAATCTCTTTGTGCAGTCAACGAAACCAGTCGGACGCTTAGTCCATTCTTGCTTAGGGGTGGACATTCCTCCCACTCCCCCCTCCCCCCAAATTTGATCCTATCCAGCCAATTAGTGAACACGGTAAACATAATTATATACACATCCTGAATACTTGATATCCGACTACCATTTACGAATCACTTTAGTCTCTAATGACGTTACCAAATTATCTCGGCCTGTGGGCAGGCGCGCTTTGGTCTTGGGTGGCGAATCGTAGTCATCGGTCACGCTGGGTGACTTCCATTTGCTCGCGGTCTCGTGTAAAATAAACCAAACACTCTGCCGCCAAATATTATTCGTCACTAATTTCGTTAATGAAATGAACAATGACGGTGCCCTTCCCTCCCGTCGTTTTTTTGTTTCTCTTTTACAATTAACAACCGCCGTGGCGTTTCCTTGTGGAACTGTACGTAATTGCACGTTTGCCCGCGTGACACTTGTACACTTGTACGAGTTCTCTCGAACATTGGTCTCACGATGTGCGTGTCACCTTGAACAGCTGGGAACAAATTGTGTTGTTGGCGTTGCCAGGAAACGCGCTGCGAGTACATGGCGAGGCGCAGGACCCGGACATCTTTAATAACAAACGCCGATTGATCCCTCCCTCCTTGATTTCAGACTACACCTGCCTGGGGCAGCAGCGATCATTACGAGACTGTGGTCTTGTCACACATCGTCCCGATTAAGGACAAAACGCATACGAGTTGGAGAGTTCAGCGAGCCTCCAGATGGTTTTGTGCCGGGGCTCGAGCCCACAAGAATGCGTTGCAGCGCACGCAGGGATATTTGTTACGTTGGTACACAAGTTCCAGACAAGCCATCGGTTCATTCTGCCAGCGCGGCAGTTCAATCAACAACGGTGCAAAATTCCCAAATCTCCCTACTGTCCACTCGCCCGTATGAATGGGTACACCCACAGGCGATCTGCAGGCCGCGTGTGGTGGGGTAAAGTGTGGGTACTCCCACCCATTCCCAGACGTCTGGCCAGCATTGGCAGGTTAGGCCATAGTACCCTTTTTAGAGAGACTCCCGAGAGCTCACTCGATTGCTCGCACGAGCGAGCAATTTGCAGGGTTCCGCCTTGAGCCTTTCATCTCGAAAGATCTCCTTATTTTCAATCTTGCGCAAACACATTTGGTTTTGGAAGGCGGGGTTTGGTCAGTTTCACAAGTCATTGGGATGTTGGGGCTTTTTTGTGTGTGAAAACACGAGATTGACACAATGCGCGTTTCCCTGCCATAACATAAACCCAGTGAATACGCAACATCGTTAAAGAAGAAGCGGCACTGACGCGTGATCCCTTCCATGCTTCTCGCAGCAAATCAAGAGTGCGGAGAGACACATGCGCTGGCTCGAGTTCCACGTCAGCAAGGTGGGTTCCCACGTGCGTGCACAACGTCACTTTGCTCGACTTAACCGTCACTGTTTACACCATTGGAACCTCATTTGCCAGTAAAAAATATGATAATTGGTTTTTTACCCTTCTATCTGGCAACAAAACTGACACTTTTTTTTGTAAACGCTTACCCCGAGCTCTCATACTCTGATGGTGCATTGTCTTTGAGTTGTGCGCCTTTTGGCGTCATCTGGTCCAACCCATGTGAGACTAGGCTCTAAGGAAAGCTGTCTCGGGTGTGGGCCAATCAACTTCAAGGACACTGCATATATTATCAGAGTTACGTTTTTTGTTTGCATTATGGCTGCAGGTATTGTGGTCTATGCAAACATGACTTCTTGTGAAAAAGGTGTCAGTTTTGTTGCCAGATAGAAGGGTAAAAAACAATTATCGTCACTGTGTAGTCGGTGTTGCCAACAGGAATGTGTAAAATAGAATGATAATCTTTTGATAATTAGTTGTTATTATGATAATAATGGAAGGCATTTTATTTATTCCGGAAAGCATAACTGAGTCTCAAGCCTTCTCAAGACTCTTTGGCTAAATACCACTTCAAGGAGCGTTTTGCCTCGAGGTAGACACCTGCATTGGCCAGAGAAAACCCTTGCCCATGAGCGGATAACCAAAAACCAAAAATCCACACCGATGGATTCACGAACAGATCTCATTCTACTGTCACTGCCTAGCTGAGCAGGTTTGGCAGTTTCACAAATCTGCGTGATCTTGGCAACGCGCCTGCCTCTCCTCAATCGCTGCTTGTCCAGTTGCCATCCCTGCGAGGGCTGTCAGATGTGCGGACAACGGGATTCGTGTGTTTTAACATTTCTAACTGCTACGCTCCTGGCAATGCTTTTACTGCCAGCGGAAGCCGCAAACACCGCAGACATTTGTCTGCGACTACTCGCACACAAGGGCCGGCTTGAGGTCTCGGTTACCTGGCCGCTCTTCAGCCTTCACACGTGGCAAGGTGTTGACTACCTCGCCTGGTATAAAGGAGGTCGTGGATTCCATCCCGACCCTGACACTTGTAAATTTGGAGTTTGCATTTTCTCCCCGTGATCTCGTGGATTTTTCTCCGTGTCCTCCGGTTTATCCCCTCCACATTTTGAATCGACATGTGTTTCGAGTATTTGGCTGCTATACATTTCCACGTGATAAGCCACTCCGTTGAGCTGTCATTTGTGGCCAGGTCGCTTCTGAAAAAGAGCTATATAGCTCAGTGGGCCTTACCTGATGAAATGAAAATAGTTTAGTTTTTACACTAAAACCTCCTTTACCAGTGGCAAAATATAGTGATAGGTTTTTACCCTTTCAACTGGTACAAAAACTGACACCTTTATACAAGGCATCATGTTTGCAATATTGCAAACACCTTCATACAAGGCATTATGTTTGCAATATTGCAATATTGCAAACATGATGCCTTGTATAAAGATGTCAGTTTTTGTACCAGTTGAAAGGTTAAAAACCTATCACCACAGTTTAGTTTTTGTTTAGTCCCACCCAACGTTCCGTGATCTTGCGTGGTCCAGGCAATTGGACTCGAGGAGTGGTACTCCGTGCGCCTCCCCCACAGGTGGACGAGCTCTTTGAGTCGTACTGCATACAGAGGCGGCTGCGGGACGGAGCCTCCAACATGATCGCCGCGTTCGCAGCGTCGGCACCGAGTCGCCGTGCCCGGGACAGCCTCGCCGAGGTGCACCGCACGTACCGCCACTGCTCGGAGGTGCGCGCACGCACGTGCACACACTTGCACACACTTGCACAACCATGCACAAATCCAGATCTTTGTTCAGACTTGTTTACCACTTTTCCACTGGCACATGCGAGTTGCGCCAGCGCGGCACAGTTACGTGACGGTCCGGGTGGTTTTCCACTGGCTATTTGCCGTGTCCGAACTAAACCGTGACACTGTGGCCTCCCAATACGCAGTTGCGCATGACCTCAGTGATCCGGCTCAGCTTCTGCAGTGGAAAAACAACCCCAGTGACTCCTAAGCCGCGCCAGACCGGCTCTGCCGCGTTCCCAGTGTGGCCACCATTACGCCTGCCTTAGTCAACATCCCCAAATGCTTACATAAAAATCCTGCACCAAGTATTTAAAGAAGGCTGACTTGACCTAGGGTAGGCCCGCTACCAGTTCTGACAACGCTCATCACTAATGTTGGCCATGGCCGACGGATTAATTGCACACAACGCTAACCACGGCCACTGCTCTCCACACACACTTTGTGTGCATGTGATAGCGAGATTGCCACTAAGACACCTGGCCTGGAGTCGATGATGATGTTGGGTATCGCTCGTCGACGTTTGTGATCCTCAGCCGATGGTGGATATTCCACATTCTCATGACAGGGACCAGGGATGTCCATTGGCCAATGACTGATTATGAATGAGTTTGGAGATGATTATTCTGCTTCACTCTTGTGGTGAAGTGGAGCTTGTTGTTGTGCATCGACATGCCTGTTACAGTACAGCAAGTAGCTTTGTTGAAGTCTATCCGTGAATGTCTGCGTTGTCTCATCGCATGCGTTGGTTTGTCAACGGACGTTGGAGATTCGAGCATCTCGATTGCCCATAGCATCCCTGTTCATTTCCCTTGTTTTCCCCTATTTGCCTATTTTTATTAGGAAGCCACTGAAGCTATGCACACTTTTAAATCTAGATCGAAAACTAATTTCTTTAAAACAGATTTTTGTGTTTAGTTGTCCTTCCCTCCGCACCTCCGATTAGTACGGTTGGCTACGTACGGTGCGAAAGATGTTCAACATTCATACATTTCGATGAACATTATTGGATCTCCTGCATTGAAGACTAACGGCGGAGTAGCAGTCAAAGGAGGGATTACGCCCACGGGGGAGGACTGTGGAGATGGATTTTCTGGCATTGAATCCCGCACTTAAAATAATAATTTTAAAATCCTATTCTAAAATATGGAAATGTACAGCCTTGTGCTTGCTCAGAAGCATTCTAGATAAACACATTTTTTGGCTTTTTCTTTTTCTAAGAGAGGCCCAGTAAGCTATGTAGCTCTTTTTCAGAAGCGACCTGGCCACAAACGATAGTTCAACCAAAGTGGCTTATCATGTGGAAATGTATAGCAGCCAACAACTCTAAACTGATGTTTCTAAATATATACAAATACTAGCTGTACTACCCGGCTTCGCCCGGGACTTGTATCTACCACGGCCGGCCGCCTTTGTCTCCCCAGTGGCGATGTTAATACGCTACAGTAGTTAAGTTACTCGTTTGAGGCAGAGTCGACCTAGGGGAGGTTCAAATAATCGTCACCGGTGGTGGCCGTGAGCGGGAATCGAACTGGGTTTGCCGGGTTGGTAGCGCAGCGTAGCGTTAAGCACTACACCCACCGCTCCTCACACACCACACACGCACAGACACACACACAGACACACACACAGACACACGCAGACACACACAGACAGAAACACACACACAGACAGCACGCTAACCACTACACTACCGCTCCCCACACACCACACACGCACACACACAGACACACACACAGACACACACACAGACACACACACAGACACACACACAGACACACACACAGACACACACACACAGACACACACACACAGGCAGCACGCTAAGCACTACACTACCGTTCCCCCTACACAACACACGCGCGCGCGTCCATAGGTACACATACACGCGCTTGCTGCAGACACACACGACTTTCAGGGTGCATACGGCAGTAAACGACTGAAATAATAAAGCGGCAATGCTGTGTAAGGAACGCCTTAGACCCGCATTATACATTTGTGTAATGCGAGCGTAAACACACAAACACACACAAACACATACACAATACACACACACATACATGCAGACACACATACACACAAACACATACATACACATACATACACACATACATAGAGACACACAGACATACACATAAACACAAACACACATACACATGACCCGGCTTCGCCCGGGACTTGGATCCACGATGCCCCGCCGCCTTTGTCTCCCCAGTGACGATGTTCACACACGACAGCAGTTACGCTTTTGAGGCTGAGTGGACCTAGGGGAGGGCCAGGTCCGTTTCAAATAATCGTCAGCGGTGGTGGGCGTGAGTTGGAATCGAACTGGGGTCGCTCAAGCAGCTTAATGACTGTTTGTACAAAGAACATATAAAGAATCGATTATAATAACCAGGCAAGAGTCCACATTATAGACTGCCAGTACACGCACTCAGCTTCATAAGCAGGCTAGAGTGTACATGATAGAGTGGCAGTACGCTCACCGAGCTTAATAAGCAGGCTACAGTGTACATGATAGACTGGCAGTACGCTCACCCAGCTTAATGAGTATTTGTACAGTGAACATTAAAGTAATCGATTGTTGGCGCGTTGGGTTTAAAAGTAATATTAATAGCACACATTGTGGTGGGGGTGTAGTGAAGAGTAGGAAAAACTTTGATGAATTTACCTCAGAGTGGCGTGGTGGGTGTCGAGGCCTAGTAGCGTGCAAAGCCTGCGGCCTCGCCTAAAATTGTCGGCTTGGAAGAGGCAGGGTACGGGTGGCGTTCCTTCCCCCCCCCCCCTAGCGCTCCAACAATACTGTGTAATGGCTATTAGTTAATTAAATACGGAGCTTATGAAAGTGGCGAAGGCGTGGCTAGCCGTTGGCAGGGGCAACCGCCGTCCAATGAAACTGCAGCCCTTGGCGAAGGCGTGGCTAGCCGTTGCCAGGTCCAATTAAAGCGGCGAAGGCGTGGCTAGCCGTTGCCAGGGGCAACCGCCGTCCAATGAAAGTGCGTATGGGCCAAAGTCCACACACACACACACAGACAGACAGACATGAACGATTTTATATATATATAGATATATGACAGCTTCTTCAGGCGCAAAATAACAATGTTGGTCTGCTAGTCACGAGGGTGCGCATTGGAATTTATGAATGAAAAAATGCTCGTTACAAATGTCGATGATTATTCTTAGCAGTTGTGTAGTTTGTCTAGGTAGAGGGTATCCTCACAGCCAACCAGTTACCTCTTTTCGTGTCGCTGTAGACACAACTAACGCCGTCATCGAGGCGTGACGCACGTCATTAATTCGAATTCAGGAATGATCAGGAGAGATAAAATGATCATCGCAAAGCAGGAGGATGCTCCTGAAAACGACTCTGAGAGTGGGTAAACAAAGCAACTACCGATATTATCATTACACTTGCAAAAATGATGCATTGAACCTCAATGGGCTGTCTCTCACCCGGTTTTAACAAACGGTCCTTGCACTTTGACGGAGTTGCGCGTCTGACTGTGCGCAGGTGATGTGTTCCGTTGAAAACGAGCTTGAGGCCTACCTGGGCGAATTCCACGTGACCATGAAAGGTAGGAGAACAGCGTTGCAGCATCGCCCAGGATCATGCCGAGCACTTGCTGATAATTATCAGAGTTGTCTTTTGTTTGCATTTTAACCGCAAGTGTTGTGGTTAATGCAAACATGATCCCTTGTATAAAGGTGTCAGTTTTGTTGCCAGATAAAAGGGTAAAAACCTATTACTATATTTCGATTTAAAGCTTTTGTGACTGCAGGGATTCATCTTCTTGGTTTTTTCGGTAAAGTCACGTAGAAGGGAAGTAATAAAATAATAAAAATAAACATAATATAATAATATAATAATATAATAATTATTTTATTATGTTTTATTTTTATTATTTTATTACTTCCCTTCTACGTGACTTTACCGAAAGAACCAAGAAGACTATTACTAATCTTGATACGGGCAAAGGAGGTCTCATAATGTAAATAATTCCTGCTTAGTTTGTCCACGCATTGCAGAGATGAGCCACTGAGTTTTGGAACGGCAACGAATGTCACGAGTCGACGTCTGGCTTGTGCAGCCACGTGATGGCGTTGGCCTTCAGCTCGTGGACGGCTCTGTTCACGGTGGCGAGATGTTAACGACCTCGCCTGGTATGCAGGAGGTCGTGGGTTCGATCCCAACCCCCCCGACGCCAGCTGTATATTTGGATTTATATTCTTAGGTTTTTTCGGTAAAGTCACGTAGGTAAAAAAATTAAATTTAATAAAAGTAAAATAAAAATAAAATAAAAATCACGACGTTTCGGAGGCAACACAATCTTCCGTCTTCAGGTGGAACCGTCACAGCACGACAGCTGTATCGTGCTGTGACGGTTCCACCTGAAGACGGAAGCTTGTGTTGCCTCCGAAACGTCGTGATTTTTATTTTACTTTGATTAAATAAAATTTTTTACCTACGTGACTTTACCGAAAAAACCTAAGAATATGAATCCTTGCAGTCACGAAAGCTTCAAATCTAGAATGTATATTTGGAGTTTGCAAGTTCTCCCCCTGGTCGCATGGATTTTCCTCCTGGTCCTCCGGTTTTTCACCACATTTAGAAACGTTGCCTCAATTTTCATAAGCGACTTCGTTGAGCTATGATTTGTGGCCAAGTCTCTTCTTAACAAGAACCACCATAGCTCAGTGAGCCTTCCCTGGTTCCTGTGTGCTCCATCGTTTATTGTGGTCCGCAGCCGCAGGTGGAACTGTCTGATGAGTGAAATCGACCGATAATCCTGATGCCAGGACCTTCCTGAACCTGTCTTGACACTGCGAGATTTTTTCTTCTTCTGGATAAAAGCAACCCATTTTTGTTATTATTGTAAGTGTCCTTACCGTGCTTGACTGCCTAATGTCTTGTGCTTCACTGTTCTTCAAATTATCTGTGATCGGAGGTGATGGTGTGGCTCGGAGAGGCGGCCAATGGTGTGTCGAAGCGGTGAACCGGCACACCGCTGAGATCCGGAGTTAGGAATCTGGGTTTCAGCCACCTGTGATCAAAATTAGTTTTTCAAGTGCGGTGCATTGTTGGTCTCAGCCCCGCGACCAATGACTACACGCAAATTAGTTTTCACTTAATTCGACTGATTTGGATTTATGCGCAAATTTTTTTTTTACCGTCATGCAATAAATATCTCCTGTAGAAAGGGCGTGTGATGATGTGCACTGCCTAGTGTTGTGGACAAGAGGCAATTGAAGGGACTTCAGATTTAGTTTTGTATTTGCCACCTTCCAGCAGTCGTTCTCGAACACGGGGTGTGATCGCAGTGCTTTCTGGAAGCGTTTCAAATGGGAACGTTGTCATCATCGTCTCTTGCCATGGCAGTGACAACACAATTGGAATCCAACTGTGGAAGAAGACGAATCATACCCGTGATTTAGATGTAACAATGAGTGAGCGACTGAACGATGTAACGATGCGCTTGTGAACGTGTGCAGGTCTGGTTGGCTTTGCCCGACTGTGTCCCGGGGATCACTATGAGGTAAGGAACTCTGTCTTCCATGCACATCTAGAGGGGGGTGTGCTCTTACCAATATCGTCGGGAGATTTATTTAACAAGTCTTGACTGCTTATAAGAGCGAGGAGGTCGAAATGAAGTCGGCATGTTTAAACGGGCTGCTGGTCAATAAATGTATATAGGGCCGATATTCTGGTGAACTACAAAAAAGGTGAATGTGGATATACAGAATGGAAATTAATCTTGATTTGAAGCTTTCGTGACTGCAGGAATCCATACTCTTTGGTTCTTTCGGTAAAGTCACGTAGGTAGAAAAATAAAATGAAACAAAAAATAATATATCACGATGTTTCGATCGCAACACACGCAGTCGTCCTCCCCCTGAGGACGACCGCTTGTGTTGCGATCGAAACGTCGTGATATATTATTTATATATGATTATATATTATATTATTTTTTGCTTTATTTTATTTTTCTACCTACGTGACTTTACCAAAAGAATGGACATTAACCTGTTTTATTACTCTAAAGCTTTGTTCTTTGGATGCTCATTAATTAAGTAATAATTCCGTTGGTTCCATATAGGGGGGAATCCCATGTTAAACCCTCCATTCACTTCAATGTGTTCCTGACAGAGGTAGAGTGCCACCTCGTGGTGATTCCTGATGGGATCCTTGGAATCCCCAGTACGGGTTTCCCCCTCGCTTTACACAGGTTCGGTTTGTGACATTTCGCGTATATTACGCGGTGAGAATTCACTCCATATGCGGCTTTGCGGTTGGACGTGGGACAACTCTGTTGGGCTTGTATCGCGCTGTACGTAGCCAACCGTGCTCATCGAAGGTGAATATTACATGCCCCCAATAAAATGCATTGTGTGTGTGTCGCGTATTTACTTCTGCGCAGGCAACTGTCTCGTGCGGTTCTGCTTCGTGCGCCATTTCTTTGGAACGCATAAACTACCACGTGAAGCAAGGGAAATCAAAACTCTTTGGTTCTTTCGGTAAAGTCACGTAGGTAGAAAAATAATAGATCACGACGTTTCGATCACAAACACAAGCAGTCGTCATCAGGTGGGACAACCACAGCAAGAAACAACTGCCGAAGTAGGCGAGAGAGCGAGTTTTGAAGTGGAGTGAATCGATGGCCTCAGCCTGGTCAATGATAACTGCACGCACACCATAACAAAGCATTTGGTTTTTCACTTGGTTTGTCAAAATTCCTACTCTGATAATCAAATACTTTTTGCCATGTAGCAGGCGTCTCAATAACCAGGGTGCGTGGCCAAGTGCAGTGCTTGCGGTTGCGTGGATAACAATGCCCTGGAAGGCATCTCAGAAGTAATTCCTCTGACATCGCCTTCCTCAAGCCAATTCTCTCTCGTGCGTTGCTCTAAGAAAGTTCCAAATGGACATTTCTTCATCTTGCGACACGACGCCAATCGCGGAGTGTAGAATCAAATCGGAGTAACGAGGCAAAAAGCCCTTTTTTATATTGAAATCCGCTATTGTTCATTTAAGTGGTGGGCGAGCGCGGATATTTTAACAAGCAGGAGCTGGGCTTGTGTGCTTGAGTGCAGGCGAATGTTGCGAACCTAAACGGCTCATTATTACTCAATGCACGTGAAAGTGTGTCCTGATTGCGTGTGAATAACAATCAGAAAAAAACGGGGTATCTATTTATTTTGTACGGGAATTAATGGACGTAATGTACTCCTAGTGTGGATAGGAAGAAAAAAAAAAACACGTGTAGTGAAGTGACTGAAGAACAAAATCTGAGCCGTTCTCTGACACCGAGTGCTGCACCGCTAGCTGCTGGAACTCCACGTGAAAACGTCTTCATCTCGTCACACAACGCCGATCACACAATCAGAATATGATTATGAATGAGCGTTCTGGACGGTGTGGCGAGGGTGCAGCTGGTGGCATTGACACGGTACTAATCCGCGTGGCGGTGCGTGCGGTGCGTGCGGTGCGGAGCAGGTGACGCTGCGCTATGGGCGGCAGCGCTGGCGGCTCCGAGGGCGTGTGGAGACCGAGGACCGGCAGACGTGGGACGCGGCCGACACCGTCCTCCTGCCGCTCCTCTCTGATCTCATCTCGATTAAGGTGGAACTCGAGCCACCACCCTCATCGATCCACCCAACCACAACTAATCCACCTCGCTCGTCTACAAACCCACTCGCCCACCCACTCACCCACCCACCCACTCGCCCACCCACCCAACCACCCACCCGCCCAACCACCCACCCGCCCAACCACTTGCCCGCCCACCCACTCGCCCACCCACCCACCCACCCGCCCACCCACCCACCCACCCGCCCACCCACCCACCCACTCACCCGCCCACCCACCCGCCCACCCAACCACCCACCCAACCACTCACTCACTCACCCACTCACCCACCCAACCACCTACCCACTCACCCACCCACTCACCCACCCACTCACCCGTACTCACCCACCCACCCACTCACCCACCCGTACTCACCCACCCACCCACTCTCCTACCCACCCACCCAACCACTCACCCACCCACCCAACCACTCACCCACCCAACCACTCACCCACCCATCCTCCAAAGCACTCCACCACCCACTTCAAGCACTTGTTCACCCGCCTGCCCAAGCACTCACCTATCCAAGCACTCATCCTCGCCCGCGCACACACCCACTTATACATCAGCCATGGCCAATCCACTGCTGGACGAAGGCCTATCCAAGCTGCGAGCACCTCTCGTGGTCCTGCGATGCAGCAATCCACCCGGCACCTGCAGCATAAATGTATTTCATCGGTCCGTCTCCCCGGTGGACGCAGCTCTCGAATGCGTTCCAATTCTCGGCTGCCACCTCCACACTCGGTCACCAAAATATTGAGGGTCAAATAGATGTACGGGTCGTTTGTGAGTAGGATATGTTTTTTTGCAAGGTTCTATTTCTATTTATATCCAACCTATACAATTATGCTCATGCGCTAAGAGGCAATTACTGGATGCAAAACGTTTCTACTTAAAGCCCTGCATGTGACGTGAGCTGCCACGACTCGTGCCGCCTTTCACTCGTGTCGTGCGTGCCGTGTGTGTTTTGCGTGTCGTGCGTGTCCCGTGTATCACTCGTGTCGTGCATGTCACGTGTCCACGCGTGTCACGTGTATCACTCGTGTCGTGCGTGTCCCGTGTATCACTCGTGTCGTGCGTATCCACGCGTGTCACGTGTATCACTCGTGTCGTGCGTATCCACGCGTGTCACGTGTATCACTCGTGTCGTGCGTGTCACGTGTATCACTCGTGTCGTGCGTGTCACGTGTATCACTCGTGTCGTGCGTGTCACGTGTATCACTCGTGTCGTGCGTATCCACGCGTGTCACGTGTATCACTCGTGTCGTGCGTATCCACGCGTGTCACGTGTATCACTCGTGTCGTGCGTGTCGTGCGTGTCACGTGTATCACTCGTGTCGTGCGTGTCCACGCGTGTCACGTGTATCACTCGTGTCACGTGCATGTCCACACGTGTCACTCGCTTTGTGCGTGTCGTGCGTGTCACGTGTATCACTCGTGTCACGTGCATGTCCACACGTGTCACTCGTGTCGTGCGTGTCCACGCGTGTCACGTGTATCACTCGTGTCGTGCGTGTCCACACGTGTCACTCGCTTTGTGCGTGTCACGTGTATCACTCGTGTCACGTGCATGTCCACACGTGTCACTCGTGTCGTGCGTGTCCACGCGTGTCACGTGTATCACTCGTGTCGTGCGTGTCACGTGTATCACTCGTGTCGTGCGTGTCACGTGTCCACGCGTGTCACTCGCGTCGTGTGTTTCGCGCAGGTGATGGAGCTGCGGCGACTGGTCTCCCACGTGCTCGTGGGGCACGTCACGTGCGACCCCAAGGAGCTGTTCCGCGTCACGCCGCAGCTCATGGCCGTGGACATCAACGACCTGGGAACTGTGAAGCTGAAGCTGCACGTCAAGTGGACGTGAGCCTCCACTCTGTGTGTGGGGCCGCGTGTGCGTTCGTGTCTGTGTGTGGGGAGCAGCGGTGCAGCAGTTGGAGCGCTGCACTATGAACCTGGGGACCCGAGTTTTGATTCCTACTCGCGACTAATAATGGTGGCGAATATTTAAAATGGTCACGGGACTCTCCTAGGTCGACTCGGCTTTAAAAGAGTACCACCTGGGGCGGTGTGTAAACGTTACCATTGAGGGTGACAAAGGCAGCTGGACGTGGTGCTGGCCATCCACCTCCTCATGTGTCGCGCCGGCCTTGATAAGTGCTCGCTAACAGCACTTGCCCCAACGGCATTTTAAAGGCTTTATGCGGGTTACCGTTGCCTTTGTGTCAGCGTGTGGTGTGCGGAGGGTGATGGCGCGCGCGTGCGCAGCGGTCGTCGCGTGCGCTACAAACCCGGCGACCTGAATTCATTTGGAGCCACGGCTCACATCAGTGATGCGAGTCTGCATCAGTCTTGGCCCTTCCCTATAGCAACTCGACCCTAAATCGGGCTGTTGCCACTGTTCAGCTCCCAAGCTTCGCAACGCTTTGCCTTTTGCTCGTAAGGCAGTCAGAATTGTTCGATGTATTTAAGCCTGTCTTCAAACATCACATCTTTAAACTGGCCCTCATCCCTACGTTCTTGGCCATTTAGCCTGCAGGTTCTGTTTATTACTGTTTTAATGTATGCATGTTGAACTTATTTTGCACCGTACATAGCCAAACGTGCTAATCGGTGGCTATGTACAGTGAGCATTGGGATCTACGGATGAAATGTGCCTTACAAATGTCAATTATTATGATTCAATTATTATCATAATAAAATAAGCATCCGCAGTCGGGTGCGTAACCATCGGCATTGAGATGACACACGTGGCCAGACATGGTGACCGGCCACACCAACCCCTTGTGTGCCGTTCCGGCCTCAATGGGGGGGGGCGGTGGGGGTGGTGGAGGTGCAGGATTTGCCCTCTCCCCTCACCTTCGCCACTCGCCTAACGCGCTTCTCTCTCTCGCCGCCGTACCCCCACAGGCCGTTTGGGAGGAGCGAGAGTTTGCCCTCCCGGGGAGGCTCCACCCTGAGGCTGGGGTCATCCCCCCGGGGGACCGCCGCGGGGTCCCAGCACAGCGGCAGCCCCCCCGACACCCCCCTGGGCGTGGGCAAGCCCTTTTTTGTGAGGCGCAAGAGCACTCGCAAACGCACGCACGGACACGCGCGCACGCACGCATGCTAACAAAGACAAAGATCCCCCGTGTAGGCCTTTTAACAGACTGTTAGGGCCAGTGCTGTTTGCGAGCACCTAATGAAGGCCGGCACGGCACGCGAGAGGGAGTGGGTGGCCAGCACCGCACCCCGGCTGCCTTTGTCTCCCCAGTGGCGATGTTTACACACCGCACCAGGTACTCATTTGAGGCTGAGTCTACCTAAGGGCCCAGGCCCGGTACAGATAATTGTCACTGGTGTTGGCCGTGAGTGGGAAACGAACTCGAGTGGCCGGGTTCATAGCGCAGCGCGCTAACCCCTGCGCCCGCACGCACAGATGTACTCGCGTACAACTCAAGCGATGATGGGGCCGAGCAGTAGCACACTTGCCTCTTGTTGCACAGGTTTGTGGTTCCAGCCCAGTGGCTACCCTGGTTAATAGTACGGTTGTCAACATTTGTAAATGATGAGAAAAGAACCCCTCGTAACAGAAACATTCCGGTGGACAGAACATAAACACGAGTTGCCTGAGTATATACATACACATTTGAGTGTTGGACATGATCGACCATTGTGCAGATATACACATAAAACATATACACCACACCAAATATCGTAATAATGCACAAGTCTCAGACTAAGGAACTGTTAGGATTTTCATGGCTCAGTGTTACTGTTTGAGACTTGCATGCTCATCAGCCTTTCATGTTAGAAGGATTCGGTGTTATTTCCAGAGGCTCACAGAGTCAGACTAAGACACGTTAGGATTTTGTGTTATTGCCCAAGGCTAATAGAGCCAGACAAAGGCACAAATAGGATTCTTATGGTTTATTGTTCTTGCCGGCGGCTTGGAGAAGCCACTGTGAAGAGTGGCCTAGCCACAGAAATCCGCCAAGTGCGCACATTTCACTGTGGAAGTCACTCCGCTCGGTGCAGCTTCTCTGCTTCTCGTGCCACGTGCTACAGTCATTGCCTTGCGCTAACCGTGCACCCCCCCGCCCAATGTCTCCGTACCCCCCCCTCGTTCCTCCCTCCCTCTTGACTTGTGCTTCTGGACTTTACTCGGCCTGGTTACCCTCCGCTCGGGCTTGGCTTCACTCGGCTTGGCTTCACTCGACACCCCCCCCCCGTCTCCCCTGCTCGGCTCCCACTCTGCACGCATTCCGTCTTCTTGTTTCGCCTGCGCATTCTGCTTGGCTCCGCTGCACTGGGCTGCACCACCTCGCCCCCCCCCTCCCCCCCCCTCACACCCCCTGAACTGCGACCGCCGCCGGGGAGCTAAGTCGTCGTGCTGGGAGCTGCACGCGCTGCCAGGGGGGGAGCTGCCGGCGTCCCGCGGGGGGCCGGGCTGGTCTGTGGTCGGGGCCCTGCGCGCGGCGCTCTCCGACGTGCGGCCGCTGCGGAGCCGCTCCTGCAACGACGTTTCCCTCTACGCGTTCGAGATGCCGCGCGCCGGCTCCTCCGTGAGCTCGCGAAGCCGCCCCCCTCGCGGAGCGGTGCCTCCAGTGTGTGTCACGTGGCGTGTGCCCGGTGGCCGCGGGGTCACGTGTCCACTGCCGGGGGTGGGGGCAGGGTGTTAGGGAGGGCGAATAAATAACGGTTTGTCGTCCCCCCCCCAACCTCAATGGACGGGGAGGGGCCCTGCTCAGTGTTGCCAACTCTTTAAAGTTGATCGTGTGGGTTGTAACGCATTTACAGGACATACTTCGAGTACGCATCATGGTTTGTCCACCATTTAGTTCCAAGAAATATTTTTTGTTTTACTTTGTGGTGAACGTAGTGGCATCTAGTGGCTTTAGGAGTTACACGAAATCATTACTTCCAACACACACCAATTAAAAATAGTTAATTCTTATCCAGGCAATTCGATTGCATCCGTTTTTCCGAGTTGGAGAATTAAGTTTAGTCGATTAACCCATACATTTTTGCGTGCCTAACAGTAAATGCAGTACAGAAGTTACGTCTTAATAGTCAATACAATTCTGGTTTCACGGAAGCCGAAACGGAATCCTTTAGCAAGGTTCCACTTGGAGTCTTTTGACAAATTCATTACCAAGTGCTTTTGTGCGTGGTAGAAAAACAGAATCCACACGGTGGCCTAAAGTCTTTAGTGGTAGGTCGGCAACCTGCTGGTCATACTGGCCGTCACATAACCAGGCAGGGTTGAGGCAGCATTTTGCCCATGATGATCTCTGGGTGGTCCACCAACTGTAGCTTCCCAAGCGGCTGATTGTTGGCATGGGTTGGGAGAGCAACGGGAAGCTGGGGGCTGCCGCCTACCCCCATCCAAAGAAAACGAGAAAAACTCTGAAGGAGAACCAGAAGGACCCGTCGTTTAGACACCCCTCACCCCACCCTCTGCAGTGGAGCCGCTGGAATCGGTGGGTCCCGTCGCGCAAATCCTTCTCTGGTTTGCGCGATTGCCCTCGCCTCGTGACAAATTGAGGCGCCGCCCATTCGAACCTGGGTCGCGTGCGGGCGCGCACGCCGCTGGCCGCGAGTCGGCTCGCGCGTGCACCGTCACGGGACTGCATGCTAATTGGGTGATCGTGTGCTTGCGGTGGTGCCGTGGGGGGGGGGGGGGCTGTTGCGAAAAGGGTGTGTTCAGATGAACGAGAGCCCCACAAATGTCCTTTCTTCACCGACGAGCATTCCCACCTGCCCGTCATTTGCGCTCTCCTCGCTGTCGCCACGGTAAATTTATCATTTGTCAGCACGGCGGGCGGGCGCCAAACACCAGGGGGTTAAGACATCGCTAGTCATTCGCCAGGAACCCTTTACGAGGGGGGATCGAAGAGACTGACATGGAAGCAGCGGTGCTACGGCAATTAGTCTTAGAGGCAAGCAGCATGTGCTTTTGTGACATGGGGTGGTCACTGCCAGCTGCGGAGTTACAAAAGGGAACACGTCTTACTCTCACGGCACGATCTCGACAGGACAATCGCAATTGGGGGGGTGGGAGCGGTGGGGAAAAAAATGGAAATCAGATATTTAAAAATAGATCAAGTTAATTATTTTCGAAACAGGAGACCAAATTTCATAGCAAAATACAGTCTGTAATTTGTTTTCTAGGTGTTTGCGAATCACGCTGTGTCTGTATCGAATGAAACAAAAAATGTAGACCTATGGACAATTCTGAGAAACGTGAAAACGTTTGGAGAAAAATCTATAGTGGCCGAGCGTGGCACCCCGAGCCTCGTACGCGGCTGTGAAAGCTATTCTCTGGTTCTAGATTTGAAGCTTTCGTGACTGCACGGATTCATACTCTTAGGTTTTTTCGGTAAAGTCACGTAGGTAAAAAAATAAAATGAAAAGTTAATAAAAGTAATAATGGAAATGAAATAAAATAATAAATCACGACGTTTCGGAGGCAACACAAGTCTCCGTCATCAGGTGGGACCGTCACAGCTAAAACTACTTGATGCAGTAATTGATACAGTAATTTTAGCTGTGACGGTCCCACCTGATGACGGAGACTTGTGTTGCCTCCGAAACGTCGTGATTTATTATTTTATTTCCATTATTACTTTTATTAACTTTTAATTTTATTTTTTACCTACGTGACTTTACCGAAAAAACCTAAGGCTATTCTCTGGTGGCAGTGAAGCGACGTGTGCCGTTCACCGGTGCCTTGACGAGCGATGCGGAGAGTTTCTCTTCGTGCTGATTAGAGCCACGGAACATTGACGGGTCAAGTTGATGGGAGAACCACATAAAACACCGCACACTTCCATCGAGGTCGCTCATTGCTTTCTAAACAAGACTTACAGGAGCCTTCGATCCTCGCTTGTATAATGGGGCTCTGTTGCTTGAAAAGAGGAAAATAATTGAGAACATTGTCCGAACCTGTGCCTGAAAAGCCACATGGGCATCCAAGAGAGACGATGGTAGTGCTGTGCCGAATGGGAAAGTCGCGTTCCTTTAAGACAAAAACATTCAAGTGGCCATCGTGACTCACCAGTGCGCACGTCGGTTTGCTGTGTCAATGCTGCCTGTTGCGCCGCTGCGCATTTTCACGTTTAATTCGGAAATCTTTATTTATCCTGGAGAAATCCGACGATCTATGAAGATCTTTTTTTCACAGATGTCCAGCAGGACGTTGAGTAGCTGCGTGATGAGTGGAAAGCCAGTCTTGTTGAATTTTACGCGTACGTTTTTCGCTGCCACTCGTAATCCAAGCGCGCGTTTTTTTTTTTTTACCGGGCCGGGCTGCGTGTTGAGACATCATCGCTTCTCTGCAGCCCACGCCTCGTGCCCTGGGGGGGCCTCGTGCCGTGGGGGGCCTCGTGCCGTGGGGGGCCTCGTTCCCTGGGGGGCCCTGCAGTCGTGCGCGGCGGAAGCTCGAGCAAAGAAATGCTCGGCGCACGACCTCGGCCCGGGGGGGAAAAAAAAACCCGAACTTGCGTAGATTCTGGTTGGATTGTTGTGCCTCCTATGGTTGCCGTGATTATTTACTTTCTATACCTTTCATGAATTTGTCTGTGGGGAATAAAAACAAAGCCAATACTGGTTTTCCAATCAAAAATGTTCGCTGGTCTCGCCGGCCAAGGGAACCTCATCTGACACCGCCATGTGGGCCTATTCGGGCGCGTAGCACGTCCTTTGAAGCGGACTTTAAAGCTTTACCTTTCCCTGCGGCCAAGCGTCGAGAAATAGATCGGGAAACATAACCCGAGGGGGAACGTGGGTCCAATGGGGGGTGCCCACGCTCAACCTGGCACCCGCGGATAATCTCGCTCGATGATGAGGCGACATGCCTGTCTGCAGCACATGCCTAGAGGCAATGACTCGCGACACTTGGAGGAACGTTTGAAACTGTGGCCCCATTGATGGCTTCGCAACCACGACCACCACTAATTTAAAAGTTTTCACTGCAGCATCATTGAATGCGATATCCTCATTGCACTTTGTTTGTTTGGTTTTCTTGTGTTTCGGCTTCGTCTATGCCACTCTTTGCACTGAGCTCCAAGCACATTTGGCTTCTTGTTCAACGATGTCGGACTGCAAACTGCATTGCCTGCCCTGTTTGTGTGATTTAACAGAATTAACGAGATCATATAAGGGCAACTCCCTTCCATGTCCCCCACATTAATCAAAAGTATAATTTAAACCACCGGGCCTATTGGCTAATCGGACCCAAATCATCCGGCGACATTTGTCTAAGCGAGCGAACCCTGGACCTTTTTCGACATTCGGTGCTGCTGGTTACCAGATGATATTGTTCAAGATGTGCGCCAATTTAAATTACGAGGCATTTGTAAGCAGGATTAAGTGGGGTTGGATTTTGAGCTCTAGGTCTGGTCTCGACATTGAACACTTTTGGCCTTTTTTTTGGTAGAATAAAGGGACAGATCAAGTGTCATCTCTAAAGACTCCTGAATATTAACTGGACTGAACAAGAAGCCAACGTGAGGCGAGCACTTGGTTGCGTGGATTCTTTGATTTTGGAACACAATCAGGTGGTGTTGTGGTGGTGTGATCAGAAGGACGAGATGACGAGTTCACATCTCGCTTGGGGGGGCGAGGGGGGGGTCCGAGTTATTTTGGCTAATCATCACTGCGAGGACTATAAAATGAGTACCACTTTGTGGGATGTCAAAAGCGCTCGTCTTTTGGATACCACAATGGTAATGTGGGATATCCATCACTGGCTAAAGTATGTAAGCAACAGATGTGTAGAAACCACTCGGTCTTTTACATTGTCTTATAACGATTTCCCCCCCCTCCCCCAATTTGCGATTTGTTGAATTGTCACAATTTGCAGTGATGAATCCATTCAAGAACCATGTCTTGTTTATTTTGTATTTTGGTGAACGTAGCTTCTAGTGGCAGCTAATGTCACATGAACCCACCGCATAGAGGCTCGTCGATTCGATGCATGCGTCGTGAATGTACGAAATAATTTGAATAATTCGATTCAAAGCATAGTTGCCAACCTCTTGTCCTACAAAAGTTTTTTCGGAAGCACCGCGACAAAATAGCAAAAGGAAGATCTCCTTTTCACACCCCCTCGGATTCGAGGCTCGGGGGGCGGCGGGGAGGTGCAACTCCCCCACCTGCCCCCGTCGTCCCCTTCTGTCCGGCCGTGCACATCGCTAATGGGAGCGTCGTGCCGCGATGCGTTTGCAGGACGGCTCGGAGCTGGGCGCCGACTGCTCCTCCGTGTTCTCCGACTCCCCGGGGAGTCCCACGCCCTCCACGAGCTCCACTCCGACCCCTGCAACACCGACTTCTTCTTCAACCCCGACCCTGACTCCCGTCCCTCCTCCGGAGCCCGCCACATCTTCGAGACTCGACTCCACCACCACCACCACCTCCTCCTCCTCTTCCTCGCCGGGGCACGGCCCCAACCGCCGTGGCCACGGGGACTCCACGGGACCCCTCCCCGCCGCCGCCGCCGCGACGCGGGGATGCGCCCCGCGGCCCCCGGTCGAACGCTCGCGCGGGAAGGTGACCGCCGGCGACGACGGCGAGAGCAAGGGCGGCCGCGGAGCGTCGCCGAGACACCAGGAGGACACGTCGTGCCTCAAGCCCGTGGAGCTCGACCCGGCGGAAAACGCCATGAGCGTCACGCGGCAGCTCGTCAAGAAGCTGAGCACGGTGGCGCTGGGGACGTGGGGGGCGCGGGCCGCCGCCGCGGCCAGGGGCGGCGTCGGCGCCGCTCCCGCCTCGTTTGGCCGCAAGCCCCCGTGGCCTGCGGAGCCGCGCTTGGAGGAGGCCGTGCAGGAGCTGAGCCTGGCGCTCGGAGGGAGTGCGGGAGGCGGAGGAGGTTTGGGAGCGGCGGCGGCAGCAGCGGCAGCGGCGGCAGCGGCGGGAGGGGGAGCGAGGGACGAGGGAGCGGCTGAGCTGCAGGGTCTGGAGCAAGAGCTGCAGCGGCTGGAAGACCTTCTGCAGGTGCGTCTGGCTGTGTCCGCTCGAAATCTTTATAAGCTGAAGGAGTGGTTCTGTCCGATGGGTTTGTTTTTGTGTACTTATGTTATGGGGAGCGGTGGCGCAGTGGTTAGCGCGCTGCACTATGAACCCGATGGCCCGAGTTCGATTCCCGCTCACGGTCAACACCAGTGACGCTTATCCGAACCGGTCCTGAGCTGCCCCTAGGTCTACTCGGCCTAAAACGAGCCCCTGGTGTCTAAACCCCAGCACAGCCCCTCGTGTGCCATGCCAGCCTTCGTAGGTGCTCTCAAACAAGTCTGTTAAGGCTATACGGGGGATATTTGTTTTATACACATACACGTCTCTGCACGTGTGTGTGTATATATACACGCGTGTGTGTGTGAGCATGCATGTACTTGTGTGTGCACGCGCATGCGAGCGCAGGAACGCGGGCGAGGCAGCTGCTCGTCCAGCGTGCACAGCCTCACGGTGGAGAAGGCGCTGGGCAACTTCGACTTCCTGCACGCGGAGGGAGCTCTCGGCAGCGGTGGCGGGGCGGGCGACACGGGGGACGCCGCTGCCCTCCTGGAGGGAGGGTGAGAGGCTGTCTGCTCCGACCTTCGCCCCCCCACACCTCGCCCCACACCAGAGGTCGCAAACGGGTTTTGATTCCTTTCCCGTACCCGTACCCGGCTGCACCAGGGTCGCAAATGGGTACCCGTACCCGGCCGGGTACGGGTAGCCGTTCCCTACCCGTACCCGTACCCTACCCGAAATGAGTGACAAACGGCTACTCACCAGTGACTCACAGCCTACCCGTACCCGTACCCGGCCGAACCAGGGTCGCAAACAGCTACCCGTACCCGGCACAGGTACGGGTAGCCGGGTATCGGGTAGGGCACAGGTATCGGGTAGGGCACAGGTATCGGGTAGGGCACAGGTATCGGGTAGGGCACAGGTATCGGGTAGGGCACAGGTATCGGGTAGGGCACAGGTATCGGGTAGGGCACAGGTATCGGGTAGGGCACAGGTATCGGGTAGGGTACGGGTATCGGGTAGGGTACAGGTATCGGGTAGGGCACAGGTATCGGGTAGGGCACAGGTATCGGGTAGGGCACAGGTATCGGGTAGGGTACAGGTATCGGGTAGGGCACAGGTATCGGGTAGGGCACAGGTATCGGGTAGGGCACAGGTATCGGGTAGGGTACAGGTATCGGGTAGGGCACAGGTATCGGGTAGGGCACAGGTATCGGGTAGGGTACGGGTATCGGGTAGGGTACAGGTATCGGGTAGGGCACGGGTATCGGGTAGGGTACGGGTATCGGGTAGGGTACAGGTATCGGGTAGGGCACGGGTATCGGGTAGGGTACGGGTATCGGGTAGGGTACAGGTATCGGGTAGGGTACGGGTATCGGGTAGGGCACAGGTATCGGGTAGGGTACAGGTATCGGGTAGGGTACGGGTATCGGGTAGGGCACAGGTATCGGGTAGGGTACGGGTATCGGGTAGGGTACAGGTATCGGGTAGGGCACGGGTATCGGGTAGGGCACAGGTATCGGGTAGGGTACAGGTATCGGGTAGGGCACAGGTATCGGGTAGGGCACAGGTATCGGGTAGGGCACAGGTATCGGGTAGGGTACAGGTATCGGGTAGGGCACAGGTATCGGGTAGGGCACAGGTATCGGGTAGGGCACAGGTATCGGGTAGGGCACAGGTATCGGGTAGGGTACGGGTATCGGGTAGGGTACAGGTATCGGGTAGGGCACAGGTATCGGGTAGGGTACGGGTATCGGGTAGGGCACAGGTATCGGGTACCTGGTTGCGACCTCTGCCCCACACCACCAACCCCCTACGATGTGGAACCGCACTCACTCGCATACCCCTTTTCGCACTGGCACATCCGAGCCGCGCTGGCAGGGCCCTCAAACCACGGCTATTTTATGTTTTAACTGGCTATTTGTCATGCCGAGCCGTGACGATGCCGTGCTGCAACACATCTGAATGGGGCCAACAGGGCCAAGGGGGGACGGGGTGGGGTGGGGTGCTATTGCGAATCATTGCTCGTGACGTCAGTCGGTACGACTGGCACACGGCATCGACACGCCATCTACACTCCTTTGTGAAGCTTTTGGATGTTACATCTCCGGCACGGCTGCAGTGACGACCTAGCGCCTGCAGACGTGCCATGATGGGTTTGCCCTGCACGGCTCCGGGCGTGGCTCATTGGCCAGTTGAAAAGGGGTGGTAACACAGTGACCTCTTTATAGGTTCCACTCAGGGCAACAACATGATAGCTTGCAGAACCTTAGAGACATTGAAATGTGTTTTTTTAATCTCTTCCACCAAGCTTATCCCAATTTGCCACCCATTTGAAACTCTCGCAGAGCAGTGCGCGATCCTTCGTGTTCGAGAATGGTCCGCTGAAGCAGAATTGACGGAGCAACCTCGGAGGTGCTTTTAAAGCGACCTCCGTTCCACGCAGTAGGCGGCAGCATTTTCCCCACCCGCTGCGCCACCGAGAGGGATGCTCATCGCACGAGCCGGAATTTAGCCAATGTTAAGTCGGGAACCAAATTTAATGTGATTTATATTTATGCGGTCATTGATTGCCAGGCTGAGACCATCAACTTTCTCTACACTTGAGAACTCCAGTTTAATCACGGGCAGCTGCCTCGGCAGTGCTATCCGAGCGCTCTGAACCCTCCAATGTTGACACCAACAGTGAGACGGTGAAATGCGCCGGTCTCCTTTGCCACGTTTTGCTTGCTATGCCCCCCACACCTGTGAAGCGTGTCTCGTCTTCTCCGGTGCCGTTCTCGCCGCGACGCCTCCTCTGTCCTGGCGATGGTGGGTGAGCAGGTTGTCTTTGTCCGACCCGGACACCGGGCTGGGACCCAGCGAGGAGGGCAGCCCCGTGCCGATGACGACGGGAGACGAGGCGCTGGACGGCGCCCTCATGGAGCACCTGCATTACTGCTCCGCGCTGCTCGCAGTGCGCATGGCACCACGCACGCAAGCACGCGCTCACAACAGTGGCACGCGCTCACAACAGTGGCACGCTCATCGTGGGATAACAACAACAAACTGCCATTCGCCTCTAAGTGGTGGTGATCACCACGGTGCTTGTGCCAGGCTATGTGAACTTTAAGGCCACGTGAAGTGTCGGAACACCCGCTGGCAGGAGGTCACAGGACAGACCCCAGGTGCCATGGTTTGATTGATATGACTGGCAGATGCACCAGCTGTGCCCCCTACTGTGCCAACTTGCTGTGTTTAAGCTGCCCGGTGCTCCGCTCGTTGTTACTGGAGGGCCACTGCCTCCAAATGCCAAGTAGCGTCCTTTATGCACACTACAGAACACACACCAAAGACATGCACAGGGAGAATACAAAAACCAAAGGTCTCCTGTAAAGCCTCCGCAGACTTTTGGGCAAGTGCTGATATCGAGCACCTATGAAGGCCGGCACGGCACACAAGGGGGCGGGTGGCCAGCACAATGCCCGGCGGCTTTGTGTCCCTAGTAGTGATATTTACACACCGCACCAGGTACTAATTTAAGGCTGAGTTGACCTAGGTAAAGACCAGGACCGGTTCAGATTATCGTCACTTGCGTTGGTGGCCGTGAGCGGGAATCAAACTCGGGTCACCGGGTTCGTAGCGCAGCGCGCTGCACAACAGTACACGCATGGCATGAGACACGAAAAAAAAGATCCCCCGTATAGCCTTAACAGACTGTAGGGGCAAGTGCTGTTAGCGAGCACCTATGAAGGCCGGCACGGCACACGAGGGGGTGGGTGGCCAACACCACGCCCAGCCGCCTTTGTTTCCCCAATGGCGATGTTTACACATCGCACCAGGTACTCATGTGAGGCCGAGTCGACCTAGGGGAGGCCCAGGACCGGTTCAGATAATCGTCACTGATATTGGCCGTGAGCGGGAATCGAACCCGGGTCGCCAGGTTTGTAGCGCGGGTCGCCAGGTTTGTAGCGCAGCACGCCAACTGCTACACTACCGCTCCCCATGGCATGAGACACACACACCGAGGCACACACACCATGGCTTGTCCACCGTAGCACACGCACGGTACACGTGTGCATACACACGCACACGCGTGACGAGGGATCTCTGTCTCTGCATGTGCGCGCTGCGCGCTCGCCTAGCGGCTGGAGCGCTGCCGGGAGCTGCGCTGCCCCACGGACTCGCTGCTCCTCTCGCTGGCGGCGCAGGCGGCGGTGCTGGCTCGCATCGCCGACATCTGCCTGCGCAAGCCGGCGTCTCGCCCGGCCCGCGCGCGGGAAGGTGGGGGACACAAGCTCGGTGGGGTTGGCGGACCGCGGCTTGAGTTGCGATCCTGAGCTTTTACAACCCAAAGTGATCAAAACTCCAGTTTGTTTCTAGATTTGAAGCTTTCGTGACTGCAAGGATTCATATTCTTAGGTTTTTTCGGTAAAGTCACGTAGGTAAAAAATTAAAATAAAATACAGCAGTCGTGCTGTGATGGTTCCACCTGAAGACGGAAGCTTGTGTTGCCTCCGAAACGTCGTGATTTTTATTTTATTTTATTTTAATCTTAAATTTTTTTAAATTTTAATTTTTTACCTACGTGACTTTACCGAAAAAACCTAAGACTATGAATCCAGTTTGTTTCCAGACGCGAACGTAAACGAACCACGTAACGGCACCAAGCCATTGGGGATTCATCTCAGGATATTGGTGGTGCAGGCTCAGTGGCCTGGCAAGATTAACAGCGCATGCTGCAAGTTTTAATTTGTATAGCGTCGAACGCGACTAGGGTAAGCGGGTGGGCACAGTGTTTAGCGCACTGCACAATCAACTGGCAACATTAGTTCTCTTGCCCACACTGACCACCGTGGTGAAGTCTGGTCACAACCCCCCAATGACTGACACCGCATGGGTGGGGGAAGCCCTGATGATGCAGCCCGAAGGATTGGCAACGCTGTCAAGTAATGAAATTAACCGGTGTGCCGAGAGGCGGGCATCCTCGCGCGTCGAGAGAGTGTCCTCCCCCCCCACCCCGCCACGTGCCGACTTCTGCCCCCTTCCGTCCTCTGCCCGCGTCCCCAGCGCTGGAGGAGTCCGGCTGTCTCGAGGAGGACCTCGAGGTGTGGCGAGAGGCCTCGCAGGATGACGACGGCGGCGGTAGCGGCGGCGTCACCTCCTCCCCGTTTCTCGTGCCCGCGGAGCGCCTGGAGGAGCGCCTCTCCCCGCGCGTCGCCCAGTGGGTGGAGACACTCCACCCGGGCACGACGGACACGGGTGTGCACCCGCGCCCCCCCCTCCTCCACCGCAGCCTACTTGCTGCACTGCACACCACACCCACGTGCTGCTCGCCGCTGGCAATCGCCCTTCTTCATAAGCCGATCGACTCTCTGCTTATGATGAAGGGCCAATGCCCGACACATCATCCATTATTCATGTATTCTTTTCTTTGACTCTGCTTATGAAGAAGGGGCCCATTGCACAAAACATTGCCTATTATAGATTTTTTTCTTTAGGGGGTTGTTGTTATTATGCTTGAACGTGGTGTGACTCTCTTGTTATTTTGTGGTGGTGCACTACTTGTCCCTGAGCCATGGGCTTGAATGTCACTTATCGGCACCACCCAGGGGGTGCAACTGCTATCAATGGTGCTCTTGAAGGATCTCATCTCAAAATTACAAAGGTGTATGATAGCAAGGTCGCTGTGGCAGCTTTGTTTTATGATGAATACATCATTAAAATGGGTGCTGTAGTGTGTTGGATGTTTGATAGAGAATATCGATTTGGAACAATAAAAATGTCACTTGAAACATTGACAGAATATCACAGGAAGTGTGTCTAGATCGGACGTTAAAATACACTAAGCTCTCTGTCCATGGTACATACTGCCCATGGAGGATACTGGTAGCATTCACCTCACCAGGTGGTGCTAAACAACGCCCTTGGTTGATGGCTTACTCTCCCAAACACAGTGTAACAACATTTTTGGTTTAAATTTGCTCGTCGATGGTAGTGTCCTCCCTCTTTAAAGCCCCGTCTACTGCCCTCTCTTCTGCCACCCCCCTCTGCTTATTGCTCCGCTGCTCCCTCTGCTGCCCTCCTCTGCTGCCCTCTGCTGCCCTCTGCTGCCCCCTCCGCTGCCCCCTGCTGCCCTCTGCTACCCTCCGCTACCTCTCTGCTGCCCTCTGCTGCCCCCTCCGCTGCCCCCTGCTGCCCTCTGCTGCCCTCTGCTACCTCTCTGCTACCTCTCTGCTACCTCTCTGCTGCCCTCTGCTACCCTCTGCTACCCTCTGCTGCCCTCTGCTGCCCTGTGCTACCTCTCTGCTGCCCTCTGTTACCCTCTGCTGTCCTCTGCTACCTCTCTGCTGCCCTCTGCTATCTCTTTGCTGCCCTCTGCTACCCTCTGCTGCCCTCTGCTATCCTCTTGCTGCCCTCTGCTACCCTCTGCTGCTCTCTGCTACCTCTCTGCTGCCCTCTGCTGCCCCCTCCGCTGCCTCCTGCCTGCCACTAGTGGTGCACGTGCTGCTGGCCAGCATGCTGGACGTCCCGCAGTGGGACGGAGCTGGCCGCAGCTCCTGCGTCACCCTCTTCCAGTTCGTGGGCTGGCTGTCACGGGGGGCACAGGGGCCCGGGGTTTGCCCTTCCAGCGTCATCAAGCAGCACAGCCTGAATCTCGCCCAGGAAGGTACGACGGACGGGGTTAGAGAAGAAGGCTTCTTCATGGGCTTGGCGTTATGGATTGTTTTGATTAGAATAGTTGGCGACGTATGGTGCGACAGAAGTTATACGTACTTTCGGTTGCAAGTTAGTTTGTTCAACCAGGTGAGCATTCAAGTGTGACCTAGGTCACCAAAGTAACAAGAGCAACCAACGATAGCTGCTAACCATCGGCAATGAATGTTCTGATGCGTGCATTGCTTTTGCACTGTTCGTCTTTTGGCGTTCTCTGGTATGACACTGGTGAGACGATGCCACAAAGACGGCTGTCTAATGGTGTCGGCCAATCAGCTTCAAAGACAATGCCTATATATTATCAGAGCGTGTTGGTTTGCATGTTCACCACAAGTACGTGTGGTTGGTGCGGTCTCGATTCCTTGCAAAAGGTTTCTGTTTGGGGTTTGAACATTTTGACACCTGTTTTATTGCCAGAAAGGGTAAAATCAATTCTTATTTTTCAGAGTGCAGCCATAAGGCGGCATATAGAAGTCAGGGCAAAAGCAACTGTACCACGTGAGAAATCTAAAGTCTTGTGCGAACATAAATCAGTGTTAAATAATACATCCCCCCGTAGCACAATTTGGCTAGGGCAGATTATTTTTAGACTGATTGTAGTGCAATTAAGTTACAGAAAAGATCAAACAGAATTAAGGTAACGAACTAATATGTAAACGGACAAGGATATACGATGCAAGATGCTATTGCAAATTAAAACAACGTGCTCAATTCAAGAGACGTTAACTCTTATCCATTACAATGTTAATTGTGCTTAATCCTTAGAGTCCTATGATACATTTGGCCAGATAATTACTTAGCCGAACCCAAAAATATATTTTGAATAATTTAGTGCTGTTTATTGCTGGCCGCTGGGCACATTGTGCCTTTGGGCCTGTGATGAACAATTGTTAAAACGTGTTTTATTTAATAGCATTAATTAGCCCCAAGACACACCAAAGACAAAGGTCACCCATGTAGCCCGTTAACAGACTGTTGGGAAAGGGTGTGCTTAACGAAAACCTATGAAGGCCAGCACAGCACACAAGAGGTCGGGGTGGGTAGCTAACACCATGCCTGGCTGCCTTTGTCTCCCCAGTGCTAATGTTTGCACACCACACCAAGTACTCATTTATGGCTGAGTTGACCTATGGTCGGCTCAGCACCAGTTCACATTCACCACCAAGAGTTGATCTCAGGTCGCCGGATTTGTTCACACAAAGTGGTAACCATGACACTACCGTTCCTCACAACACACCAACACTGGCACGCAAAGCACGCGCGTGGCTCTGTTAGTCAACTCGTTGCACCTGAGTCTGTCCCGTGATTTCCTGCCAGTGAGCCTTGGACACTTCACGTGGCCTCAGCGCGCACCCAGCCTGGCACAAGCGCCGTGATGAAGTCACGGCCACTGAGTGGCGAGTGGCAGTTGTTATTGGGGGTTCCCTCATGTATGTACACATTTCGAACTTCTTTCGGAGCCAACCGTCCTAACCGTGCCTCCCAGTGTCCCTCATTGAGCAGCTGCAGTCGCCCCAGCAGCCGGACCTCAGCCCCGCGGGGGGCTCACGGCACCTCGGAGAGACGTGGCCGGGCCCCAGGACGTCGGCCCCCCCCAGCGCGTGGGCCGTGCGCGCGCTGGCTCGCGCGCTGCTCGACAAGAGGGAGCGCGTGAGACACGTCGCCGCAGAGACGCTGAGGGAGGCGGGGAGGGGATGGGCGAGGGACAAGGTGAGTGGTGACCGTGGTGGTGGTGGTGTAGGCCTGCCCGAAGCTTTGCCGTGTTTAACCCCGGCGTACGCGACGATTGGTGTTTTACTCAAGCCAACTTGAATAATAATCGTTTATTTTTGTGAGGTGCCCTTAAGACAACGAATCTACATCGTGCCATGCATTTAAAAGCGGAAAATAAGCAGTAACCGTGGAGAGGAAAGGCTAAAGAGACGAGATAGAGAACTTGAGAGAAAGGCCTTGTGAAACAGACTATGGAGTCTTCAGCCATGACTAAAAATGTCTCCATCGAAATGTCTCCATCGACTCCGAAATCCTGACCTCCAAGGACAGGGAATTCCAGATCTTTAGTGCCGTGCCCTGGAGCGTGGTCACACCGAGTAAGGCGCCATCGGTAGATCTCAGTGGAGTGTGTGGCTGAATCAACTCCCGGATATCACCATTGGAACCTCCTTTGCCAGTAGCAAAATATGATAATTGTTTTTTTACCCTTTTATCTGGCAACACCATGTAAGACTAGGCTATCCCAAAAGGCGTCATCTGGTCCAACACCATGTGAGACTAGGCTCTAAAAAAGCTGTCTCGGGTGTGGACCAATCAACCTCAAGGACAGTGCATACATTATCAGAGTTGTGTTTTTGTTTGCATTCCGACCGCAGGTATTGTGGTCAATGCAAACATGACTCCTCGTAAAAAAAGGTGTCAGTTTTGTTGCCAGATAAAAGGGTAAAAAAACTATTATCATCCCGGATATCAGGTGGAGCAAAGTAATAAAGATATTTTTCATTGGAGGAAGTCGGCATGTAACGAATTTACCTACGGCCCCCCCTGATTTGATACATTGAGACAGTGGATGTCCTCTCGGTCGCGTTTGTTTCCTTGTCTGCCACTCCGTCATTACTCTCGAACATCGCATGGCCATCTCTCGCACTTCTAATTAGCACGCTTGGCTGTGGACAGTGCGAAATAAGTTCAAGTATACATCCATAGTAATGCATGTGTACTGCCCTAGATCACTATTCACACAAAAAACACTCAACACATGGGTCAATGACACATCGCCGAATGATTTGTTTACCTTGAATAACGGCGCAAGATCCTTAATCTCTGCCTAGGTTCTACCTATTCATTTCTCCTTTCTGTCCTTGAACGCAATTCCCAGCACGCTTCCTCTCTGTGCTTTCCTGCGCGTTTCCGTTGCTTGTGTTAACAGCCTCCGTGTGCACGGAGGTTGTATGACGGGGAGGGATCTGTGTTTCCCGCACGTGCGCGTAGCTCGTGGAGAGCTGTGTGCAGCTTATGGAGAGCGAGGACTCCGTGGACATCGACGCAGCCTCCACTGCCCTACGCTGCCTGCAGGTGCGGCCTGAGTTATTTTATTGTTATGATTGATGTTTAATGCGTTACTATTGCGCTTGTTGCTATGGAAAGCCTCCCTGCATATCGAGACTCGGCAGTGTCTCCTGTGTTTTCACAGCAGTGAGCAATGTTGCTGTTGCTGCTGTTTGTAATCCCAGTTGAGTACTTTTTGAGCATTGGGATATTCTGGCCAATACGAGTTACATTGTGTGGGGCTTTTTGTTTAGCTCTGGGAGAATATCGGAGAACCCAGAGAAGAGAAACCTATGGAGAAACGGGCGAAAACATACAAACTCCACGCAAAAAAGCGCCCCCATCGAAAATCTAACCCATGCCCCCGGTTGCTACGATGCACGGGGGCATTACCACGAGCTCACAAATATTACCACTCCATTCACCGGCGCACGTGCCCAGCATCCACCGCACTCTCTCCGCGGGTCGGCTGCCACTGACCTCCCGCAGGGTGGTGCGTATTTCATCGTCTCCGAGGGATGATGTGCCGAGTCGACCCCTGACCGTGATTTGAACTCATGACCTGCGACCTTTTCATTGCGCGAGTCAAGTGCTCTGCAATATCCACTCGCCAGGGGGCTAAATCTCGCACAGGCTGCACGTACGTTTAGGCCACAGGGAAGCAGCATCGTTCACAGTGGCATTGTGGGGCTCCGCTGTCCATTTCCCACCGCCCCCCCCGCCACCTTTCTTCGTAGCCTGGCATCTGGGCCGCTTAAGGATGTGGGCTCCCATTTCGGATTGCCACCTCCCAAGGTGCAAAAAAACCAGGACACTTTATATGCTGGGAAGAACAAGATCTCACCTCTCCAATTTCGGAGGGGAGAATTACGTGTGAACTGCGTTCTGTAGAGTGGTGCATTATTGCGCAACTGCCAACAAAAAATGGTACGTTGCAGTGTGCCGGGAAGACTTGCATGTGTCTGAGGAAGAACCAGCCACCTCGAAAAGAGGACAATCCTGAAAAATTCAGAAAACCCGAGCTTGGCGGTATCCATCGCCCGGCGATGCAGTTGCACCGCCTGCACACTCGATGGCTATGCCACTGGGCTCACTCCGGTGGGATTGCTTCATGGCCGCGTGAACCCGAGTTGGCGCACGCTCCGCCGGCCATGCCGTCACTCCCTGGGAAGCGACGGGGACATTAATTACGAAGTCGCCGTCTCGCTCCGTGGTTGGCTCTCGGAGTCGTGCTGGGAGGGGGGTGCCGCTGCTGCTGTGGCTGCCCTCCACAAATTCATCATCATCTCACAACCGCGCTGGCGTTGACTACACGTTATATCACCCCCCCCCCCCCCCGAGGGAGGGTACCATGAGCGGTGTGCCTTTCTACAGCCTGTCCTGAGCCCTCCCCAAGGTCCAAATGGCCTTGCATGATGAGTACCTGTGTGGTATTTAATTACCATGATGATGGCCACACCAACCCCCTCCGTGTGAAATACTGGCCTTAATAGGTGCTCACTGACAGCACTTACATGGGCGACATGGGCGATCTCTCTGTGTGTTTGTACGGGGAGCGGTAGTGTCACGGTTAGCGCGTTGCACTATGAACCCGGTGACCTGAGTCGATTCCCGCTTACAGCCACCAACACCACAACACCAGTGATGATCATCTGATCCGGTCCTGGGCCTCCCCTAGGTCGACTCAGCCTCAAGTAGTTATCTGGTGCGGTGTGTAAACATTGCCACGAGAGAGACAAAGGTGGTCGGGTGTGGTGCTGGCCGCCCACCCCCTCGTGTGCTGTGCCAGCCTTCTTAGGTGCTTGCAAACAGACCTTGCCTCAAGTCTCTTACGGTTATACGGAGGATCTTTGTCCTTTTGCCGATACTTCACTACGCTGGTCAGTGCGGGTTGGAGAAGGTGGAGGGATCCCTGGACTCGTTCAGATGTCGCTCACAACTGATGTTATCCATGGCCAGGAACCCAGCTCCGGTCGCCAGGTTAATAATGCAGCGCGCTAACCAATACGCCAACCCCCTCCATCCAAGGCAAACATTCGCTGTTTCAAATTCTCAATATAAAGTGCTTGGCAAAAAACTGGGGACCAACCTGCACAGCATTGGAAATGGAGCACAGTTATGTTATTTAACTTGCTAACGCCAAATTAAGGCATGCAGAATCCACCACGGTCCAATGGAAATGCTCAACAGGACTTGTTTAATTGTTTTTTACCCTTCTATCTGGCAACAAAACTGACACCTTTTTTACAAGGAGTCATGTTTGCATAGACAACAATACCTGCAGCCATAATGCAAAAAAAAACATAACTCTGATAATGATATGCACTGTCCTTGAAGTTGATTGGTCCACACCCGAGACAGCTTTCCTTAGAGCCTAGTCTCACATGGGTTGAACCAGACGACGCCAAAAGGACTTGTTTAGTAAAACGGAACAGCCCTATGGAGGATTCTACGCTGGGTGGGAGAATAAGCAATTCTGAACAGCTGCCCTTGCTTATTTAAGGGTATACGAGCACAGGCATTTAAATACTTTCTTAACCACTTGTGTTGTTTTAATTGGTGGCCGGGAATTGGCGTTTTGGCCTTAAAGGCAATGCTCTCGTGGGACTTGAAGGCCCAGTTGGCTGCATTTGGGCGTCTAGAACAACTGTGGCGAGATGTTAACTATCTCGCTTGGTATACAGGAGGTTTTGGGTTTGATCCAGACCCTGTGACGCCTGTCTATTTGAAGATTGCATGCTCCTCCCCGTGGGCGCGTGGATTTTTCTCAGGGTTCTTCGGTTTTTCCCTCCACATTTAGACACGTGCGTTTGCAGTATTTGGCTGCTGTAAATGTCCACGTGACAAGTCGCCACTTTGTTGAGCTATCATTTGTGGCCAGGTCGCTTCTGAAAAATAACTCTATAGCTCGGTGGGGCTTGCCTGGTAAAATAAAAAAAAATGTTTAGTTGTGTTTTAGTTTAGTTTAATTTGTACCATACCGAATGCTTCTTCTTGTATGTTCTGTCTCGTTCCGTTAGCCTAAAGGTAACAGTTGCATGTCATGTTCATGAATCATAAATAATTGAAACCGACACGCATGACTGCTTGTATTATGAGACTGTGTGCCTATTAGAATAATTTTGAATTCCTTTCATTTTAGACCGCTAGGCTTCCCCAATGTGGACATGAGAGATGCAATTATATGGATATATAACGAGTGCATTCATCACTTGCACTCATCTCGCAAATCACATGCTCTTTGCGTGCTTGTTGTATGTCTGTGAGAGTGTATGGGCCTCTGTGTGAGTCTGTGGGTCTGTGAGCATGTGATATTTTTGTGAGATTTGGAGTCTGAGTCTGTGGGTTGCTCAAAGTCTGGTCTCTGTGAGACTCTGGGTCTCTGCGAGTCCATTGAGCTCTGGGTTTAATGGGTCATGCTCTGAGTGTGGATCTCTGTGCGAGTCGATGTTCCACTACGTGAGCCTGTGGTTCTTGGTGATGTGGAGGAGGATGCTTACACGCCTGCTGTGAATGGCTGCTCTTTCTGTGCTGGACTCAACTGTAGGTCTTCTCAAGCTGAACACCAGAGGTCGCAAACGGGTTTGATTCCTTACCCGTACCCGTACCCGGCCGCACCAGGGTCGCAAACGGGTACCCGTACCCGGCCGTACCCGTACCCTACCCATACCCTACCCGTACCCGGCCGGGTACGGGTAGGGTACGGGTATCGGGTACTTGATTGCAACCTCTGGGATGAAGCCATGTTGCAGGCGTGGGTGGGTTGATTCTAGGAACTTGAATTGTGAGAAGAGACAAGACGTTGGGAAATGAGTGACAAACAGTTACTCACTAGTGACTCACGGCCTACCCGTACCCATACCCGGCCGCACTAGGGTTGCAAACGGGTACCCGGCCGAGTACGGGTAGCCGGGTATCGGGTAGGGTACGGGTATCGGGTACCCGGTTGCGACCTCTGCTGAACACTGCTACATCCACTGCTGGATGAGGCCTTCTGCAGCTGCACATTGCTGACTCTGAGGCCACTGAGTTAGTATTTTGGACCTTGTTCTGCTTGCCTGGCCCACATGCAGTCCACTGTATTTAATATATGCCTCACACATTTGACAACCCCACCAGGTGCTGGACTGCAACTCCTCTCTGAATGCTCTCGGACAGGAGGAAGAGATGGCCGGGGACACGGGAGATAACACTGAGCCCCACGATGCTTCTCCAGCTTCTGACCCAGGTTATTGATCCATTAATTCAGCCGATAATCCATGAGTTACTCTGTTAAACCAATAAATGATACCTATTTTTGTCAGTTCAACACGTAGGCTTTCGCGACCAACATCATCAATATCTACGCCTCTATATAAGGGACGAAACAGGTGGACTTCTCCACAAATCTGGCTGTCGCCTGATGAAGCTAGTTGTAATTACTGGCGAAATGCATTTTCACCACAAGTTTATGTGGTGAATGCAGACATGATTCCTCGCAAAAGGTTTCAGTTTGGTGTTTAACATCCTAACACCTTCTTGGTTCTTTCGGTAAAGTCACGTAGAACGGAAATAATAAAATAAAATAAATAAAACATGTTGAAATTTTATTATTTTATTATTTCCCACATTATGTTTTATTTTTATTATTTTATTATTTCCCTTCTACGTGACTTTACCGAAAGAACCAAGAAGATTAATCCCTGCAGTCACGAAAGCTTTAAATCGAAATCCTAACACCTGTGTTATTGCCAGAAAGGGTAAAACATTTTCTTATATTTTTATAATGGCAAGTGAGGTCCCATGATATGTAACCCTGATAATATAATTGACGTGTGGGTAGACCTTCATCCAGTAACGGATTGACAAATAGCCGTACATTATTATTTCATTATTGCGAGATCACTTTACAAAGTGCACATTGCCAACAGCCAATGGTCCGTGTCTTCGCAAAAACGCGAACGCGTGGCGATCGATTTATTCGGAGGGTGAGCTGCGTCCTCTCTCCACCCCCCCTCCTCCTCCACCTCCGTCGACTTCACAACTCGTGACTTGTTAGCGCCACCCAGTGTTCACAGGGTTCCACTGCAGGTGAGGCTCAACCAATATCTGAAGGACCCTTCGGCTCGGCATGTTGCGCATGGCGAGGGGTCAAAGTTCACGGAATGTTACTGCTTTTGCAAGCGCTTGCGTGGACTCGAATAACCCCGGTGGAGGTGAAACCATAAGCAAAAATCCAAACTCGTACCATTGCATCGTCGTTAGCCATCCGCTGCTGGATGGAGAAGGCACCCTCACTGCTGTTTAAGGTCTATTAGCGCGACGCGTTGCTGTACACCGGGTGCATACGCCGTTGCGATGCATTGGCTTTCAAGTAATGCAAATTCGATGGGGAATGTTGCGAGTCATGAAAGGTGGCTTAAGAAGCACGTTTTTTTCCCTTTGTTTCTTGTAATTTTACACTTTGACCTTCGCAGGCCAATTTAAATCGCAAGGCATTGTTTTATGAAGCAGGCCGGGGGTTAGTTTAACATGTAGGCCAGGTTAATAGCTTACCTTCTATTGCTCCCCCCTGTCGTTGGTGTACATTTTTATTTACACAACATCGTCCCAACCAGTCCTTCGAGTCTAATAAATAACATGTAGACAGACGAATAGCTGGGAATAATTGGTCGGTTAAGTTAATGAATCAACTAAAATTAGTAGTTGACTCAATTTTTAAATCCTTTATATTAAGTTCACTTGCTTGCTTGCGCGCTTACGACCGTGCAAATCTTTCGGTCGTTTTTTAACCCACTTCCCGTGATCCAATCGAGCTGACATTTTGCACACAGACTCGTTGTGCGTGACAATTTATTTTCGTGAATTTTTTTTTCCATAACTTTACACTTTTTAGGAAAAAAATAATATTTAATTACCAATTGCTTAATGGTGCCATGCAATCATCTGACCCATAGGTGGCAGCCATCTCAAGCCAGAGGACGAGAGGACTCTAGCCGCCACGCATATAAAGGATTCATAGTGAAAAACTTTGTTTTTACGGGTTAATTTGTTTAGCTCAATTACTCATGCCCCTTTAATAATAGCGGCTGACTCCCCATCCTGCCTTTCCGAAGGCAGGAAACCCCCGACAAACAACACCCATTGTGACACAGCTGATGGTACCGAAGCCATCACCAAGCTTTGCCCATCATCCCCTCTCGTCCAGTGGCTCATGTGAGAACAGACAGAACTATTTTGTTCTGTTATCTGATTGATCGAACAATCAAACCCATCATCTTACTTGAGAAATCGTAGAGCCCAGCTCGAGACAGATGTCCGTCTCTCCATGTAAAATGTTTTTGTTTTAGTCCATCAGCCTCTAGGGGGTGAAGTGGTTGCACAGTATCATCATGGGACCTCCTTTGCCAGTACCAAAATATACTAATAAGGTTTTTCCTCTTTTTTCTGGCAACAAAATTGACACCTTTTGCAAGGAATCATGTTTACATTAACCATAATACTTGCAGTCAAATTCAAGCAAAAAACAATACTCTGATAATTTATGCACTGTCCTTGAAACTGATTGGTCCACACCAGAGGACAGCTTTCTTTAGAGCCTAGTCTCATATGGTGTTCAACCAGATGACGCCAAAAGGCGCACAGTTCAAAAGACAACGCATTATCAGAGTAATGAGAGCTCGGGGTGAGCAGCTACATCATGGGACCTCCTTTGCCAGTACCAAAATATACTAATAGGGTTTTTCCCCTTTTTTCTGGCAACAAAACTGACACTGTGCGCCCTTTGGCATCATCTGGTCGAACACCATGTGAGACTAGGCTCTAAAGAAAGCTGTCCTCTGGTGTGGACCAATCAGTTTCAAGGACAATGCATACATTATCAGAGTATTGTTTTTTGTTTGCGTTTGACTGCAAGTATTGTGGTTAATGTAAACATGATTCCTTGCAAAAGGTGTCAGTTTTGTTGCCAGAAAAAGGGGAAAAACCCTATTAGTATGGTTGCACAGTAGTTGGGGAAATGCGCTATGTACCCAGCCGCCTAGATTTGCTCTACTTATATTATCATGGAGCCTATGGCTTTCCATTTCTTAATTCATATTTTTAGGCGAGTCGAAAGACTGTATTTTATTTAGTCCATTATCTTACTTTAGTCGACTAAAGAGTCAATTATTTAGTCAAATGTTGCTGAGGAGCATAGATAAGTCACACTCCATTGACAAATATGTTTGTCGCTGATCTGGCTAACAAACATGAACGCTGCTCGAGACTATGACGCACGCTTAAGTGCTCTGCCGTGCCCTTGTGTTTCAGCTGCGTGCGGTGGCCACATCTCCAACGGTGATGATGACGGTGACGTGTTGAACGATGAAGACCTCTCCGGCTCGTCGCTCAACGGAAGCCCCTTGCATGGCACCTCCTTGTAAGAGCGTGCGACGAGCTCCCTCGAGCTCCTTTGTTTGCCCCGCCATTGAGGAGAGGTGGACTGGTGGCGGTGACGCATTGCGGATGTTCGCGGAGCCACCGCCACGCTTGTGACTGAAGAGGACGATCGATGGGATCAGAAAGCTGGAATGGATGTATATAAAGGAACGGGAAAAATGAGAGGTGGACCGCCGAAGTTAAGGCACACACCAATGGAGTGATGAGGATTGTGGCTGCTAGTGAATGAAGCAGAAGGCGTCAGCGCAGTAAATCCTTTATTGCACAGAGAATGGTAAATATGATAATGATTGTAGTGGGTGGCGATGATTGTGTTCCTGCAGTGTTCACTATTGCTGTTTGACCCCTATGATACTTGGTCGTAATAATAATACGTAATTATTTACACCCTTTGTTGACCAGCTGCTGGATGAAGGCCCTCCTTTTATGCCTGTCGGTCATGGGGTGTTGTTTGACCATACTTCACCACACTGTCCGGTGCTGGCTGGTGATTGGGTGACCCAGGACCAGTTTGTACATCACTCGCTACTGATGTCAGCCTTGGCCGGGAATCAAACTCAGGTTGCCCCCCCCCCACGCCCCTCAACTTACCCTTTACAGAGCCGTATTTATAACCTGCAAATGAGCTTGATGGTAGACCAAGCAGTTGCCCAATCGGTGAGCAAAGTTGCAGCCACGTGACTGATAACATATGTGATGTCACACATGGCAGATGTGGCTTGATGGAGGTCGTGTTAAGTTATCGCGTGGGTTTTTGCAGCTGTGTGCTGTATGGCCCTTCAGTGAGGTCGTGGGTTGTACAGCATGTTGCTTGGCAGAATGTCTCTTACATTTTCCTCCACGTACTGGGGAAGCTTCTTCGGGAACCTGAAGAACTTGAAAAAAAGCTGCTTCAGGAATCTTCCAGCACGTGGAGCGAAACGTCGGACACGATGCTAAACGACAAGTCTTGGCCCATGTTAAGGACAAATTGAATGGTGAATAATTGTGGACAGGTGATGTTTGCCTTTCTGGATTAAAAAATATCAACGGTCCCAATATGGTAAAAATCGTCAGTAGCTCTTAACATGGCAAAGAAATAACTTGATAACAAAAAAAATCATAGTGCACTTTCTTGTCATTTTGATGTCTGTATATTTGTTGTTGGTTACCATTGTATGAACACAGTATTGTAAGCTCACTCTTGCCATTTCCCTGGCTAACAGCATTGAACTCTGCATCAGTGTTTAAGTTGTGCGTGCCAGTGTCGCAGTGCAAAACAAACGTGAATGGTAAAGTACTATCCCCATGTGACCCGAGTCACTCTGTGTCTCCATTACAAAAGAGGTTAAACATTTATTAGTGCTGCCGCCTGGTTGAATATCCTCACGGTGTGACGCGCAACGCACTGAGATAACAGAAATCGATTGTGCGTCGCACTGGTGAAATTCACGGTCGTGTAAAATTTCTGAGACCAGAAGTGGAAAACTTCAGGCTTCAAGGCCTAAAAACAGCCCAAATTTGAAGCAGCAATTAGGTTTTTTTTTCTTCCAAAAAAAGTAAAGTGATTTCTTGCTACAAATAAGCAAGCAGGCAGTTCTCTTGTTTATACCCCTGAGCCAGTTGTGGTAATTCCACATTCCTATGACAGTGGACAACTACTGTTAATTCCCCACAATGGGTACACATTTCAATAGCCACAGAGAGACTATATGGGCCGAGTCGACTCCCAACCAAGATTTGAACTCGCAACCTTCAGATTCTGAGCAGCTCACTCAGCTGCCGAGTGACCTTTAGGGAACTGTGCTCACTCTACCGTTAAGACACCTCTAGTGAATTGCCAAGCCCTACTACACAGACGGTTCCCTTGGTTGGCATGGAAGGTTTGGACTGCGGTATGCCCTACAAGGCCTGGAGTTTCCCAGGCTTGAATTAAATGTGAGGCTGCAAAACAGTTGACTGCACTGTGCTGCCTGCCAATGTGGCATTGTCAGTGTTATCTTATTTAAATTACTTATGTACGTTCGTGTGTGTGTGTGTGTTTCAGAGTTAACGCATTACGCTTTGCTGTGTTTGAGCTGTAAACAATGGTCACGTGACAGTACTCGTTAACACCACTCACACAAGCGTACGCGCACATCAAAAACGTGTTAAATAAAATGAGTAATAATGCTTCTTCTGTCATTTAATTACGGACGTTGGCCTGTTGCTAGCATTTCACTTAATTTGATTTATTTCTTTGCAGCATCCATTGTGCATGGGATTTACTCGGCCGTATGCGAGCCATCAAAGTATGCTGCAACATTGCTAACCCATGACAACAAGTTGCAGAGCAACAGCCTTTAGTTTAACAGGCGAGATGTTGCGACTACAGTAAGGACATTTTTGTCATCAACATTCTGACATTCCCCCGAAAATAATTGGTTTCTATGATCTTAGAAGCCCACTGTATAGGGTGATTGGAGGAAAGTGGTGGTCAGATATGTTATTTGTTTCTTAAAACAGTTACTAGAGCACGGGCCCAAAGGCTCAAAACCATCTGGTGACCAGTAGCAAACGGCACAGGGCTCATTGTCAAATCCAACTCAAAGGCCGGTATATTCAAGATGTTGGGCTGCAGATATAGCTGCATATCAATAACATCTGACCCGCAAAATACACATCCGGGCTCTGACTAACAATGCACGTCTCTCCATCTCTGAATCTCAACACTGTACATATTTGACTCAAGACAAATTCCCTGTCTTGTGCTCTCTGCATCCCCTCTTTGCAAATGCCGGTTCACGCGTATTTTTGCAGACTGTCATCTGCAATGTTTTGGTGCTTGCGTCAGATCTGATGTAAACATAACTGTCCACACACCACCCCCAAATTACCTATCGCTTCTGGGTTGAAGTCTTTTGTGATGTTCAACACTGACCGGATTTTTGTGGAAATTCTCAGGGTTTACATAAAAGTCCAAGATGATTGGGAGGGCTGGTCCTCAGACTTAAACTTGGGAAGAAAAACGCCTTCAGCGTTTGTTGGGCTGTCTCAAACTGCTTTGAAGAGCTCGGTGGCTTGGCAGGCCCTGGTCAAGGCGCTCTTCTTCCACCTCCAACCCAGCTTATATATACGCTCCAAACTTAGCAGTGTTTCATTCTTCACCTGAAGACGGCTGCTTGCGTTGTAGCCGAAACGTCGTGAGAATTATTTTATTATGTTTTATTTTTATTATTTTATTACTTCCCTTCTACGTGACTTTACCGAAAGAACCAAGAAGAAAATGAGAGATTGTTTTTGTTTGTTTAAGCGAGACGCCCTGTATGCGGCCGATCCGCTGCATGGAAGTTGAGTCCAGGACGGACGGGAACGATTTCTCTCCAGGAACGCTTTCTCTACGGAAAGACCACAGAGGAGTGTGGTGCAGCCTGGTTGGAGGGGACATGATCTGCACAGTTCAGCAGAGTGGTAATATTAAATACATCTTTGAGGAGGAGGGACATTAATCTGGGTGCAGAGTTTTGTTTGCAAAAGTCGAGAACCACCATTGGTGAAATGACTTGTCCTGCACCCTCGTACGCTTTTGAAAGCCATTGCCTCAGGGAGCTTCTAATAGGGCAGCTGATAATTATATCTCGTCTGATCCTGATGAGTTGAGGATACCGGGCCAAGTACTTTCAGTAGATTTCGATTTAAAGCTTTCGTGACTGCAGGGATTCATCTTCTTGGTTCTTTCGGTAAAGTCACGTAGAATGGAAATAATAAAATAATGCAATTTTAACATAATAAAATAATTCTCACGACGTTTCGGCCACAAATTATTTTGTCAAGGCGCACATTCCCACCTTCCAACCCAGCTTAAATATACGCGCCAAGCGTGGTGGCGTTTCATTCAGACGCTGTCTCCCCGACAGACCTGGTCTTCACCTGAGGACGGCTGCTTGCGTTGTGGCCGAAACGTCGTGAGTGATTTTATTATGTTTTATTTTTATTATTTTATTATTTCCATTCTATGTGACTTTACCGAAAGAACCAAGAAGATACTTTCAGTAGCTATTTTCCCAGCTGGACGCTTGCAGCGTTGTGGTTCTGACTGCTGGCCCGTGCCGTCTAGCAGTCTGGTATCATTCCAGCCGACTGGCAACGAGGCCTCGTGGTTCATCTTCGGAAAGAAAAGAATGACAAACGGGACGGTGGTGTTTTTCTGTCTCGGTGTCTGGTGCGGTGTGCTTCTCGCAAGGAGCCGCCTGACATTGATGTCAACTCAGAAGCCGAACAGTCTGCCTTTACACCCAAAAATAAAATGGTTAGCTGAATTATAGTGCTTCGTGTCATTGATCAGCGCCGTTGGGAGTTTCGGCAAATGCTGTTTGCAGCCTATGTTGATTTCATTTGGTGCTTCGGGAGACACCTTGGGAGGTCCTGTGACTTTGAAAATCCAGAAAGATTATCGATCTGATGACTGGTCTTTATTCAGTAACTGAACATGCTGTGAAGTGCAGTGTGAATAGCTCCGACTTAAATTTCGATTTAAAGCTTTCGTGACTGCAGGGATTCATCTTCTTGGTTCTTTCGGTAAAGTCACGTAGAAAAGGGAAGTAATAAAATAATACAAATAAAACATAATAAAATAATTCTCACGACGTTTCGGCCACAACGCAAGCAGCCGTCCTCAGGTGAAGACCAGGTCTGTCGGGGACGCTGTCAGACCTGGTCTTCACTTGAGGACGGCTGCTTGCGTTGTGGCCGAAACGTCGTGAGAATTATTTTATTATGTTTTATTTTTATTATTTTATTGCTTCCCTTATACGTGACTTTACCGAAAGAACCAAGAAGATAGCTCCGACTTCTTCCCTGCGAATTTGTCGCAGTGTGGCGACACGATCTGCCTCGCCTGATATGGAGGAGGTCGTGGCCTCGATCCGGACCCTGACGCCTGCTGTATATTTGGAGTTTTCATGTTCTCCACGTGGTCGCGTGAATTTTTCTTCGGGTCCTCCGGTTTTTCCTTCCACATTTAGAAACATGTGTTTTAGATTATTCGGCTGCTATAAATTTTGCAAACGACAAGCCACTTCGTCGAGTTATAATTTGTGGCCAGATCGCTTCTGAAAAAGCTATATCACCAGTGGGCCTTGCCTGATACAATATAAATGCTTATAGTTTAGTTTAGAGTTTAAAATAGGTTAATTCTGTGGTGAGGCAAGGATCTGTTCTTGCCTCTAAATGTTCCAAAACAGTAAATCTTCACAAATGTCGGCTGTGGGGTAGAGCCGTTCCGATCATGGGGGATGTCCAGAAGACTGTAAAATATTTCAATAATTATTCTACATTTAAATTGAATGTATTAACGCCTAACGGATTCCATTAACACTTCATTAGTTGAACATGTATAATTTAATAACACGTTAAAAAAATACACGACCCTACAGTTTCATACGAGTCTGTCATCATGAAGCAGAGATAAAAGGCCGCAGAGATTTTCTGAGAGATGTGAAAAATATTGTTTGTAAAATAAATGTGAAGATCGAGAAAGCACTAATAGAAGATGTGGAAGATCGAGGCATCCAATGGCGCAAGTTTGCTGAATTCCCGACACCATAAGTGTCCCGCTTTAGAATTGGTGGTAAAGAAATGCTCGTAAATTGTATTCGTAGTACAGTATTACAATGTTCGACGATAGCATCTTGCAATTCCTTGTGTTGCGGTTCTAAAATGTACTCCACGCGATTATCACTTACGGCACATGAGTACCGCTCTGCAGCTCAAGGGGCCATCCATGTAGTGGGTACGCAAACATCTGTCATCTTGACCCCCCCCCCTCCTCCCTGTACGCACTGCGGACTTTTTAAATCCTTTATATTAAGTTCACTTGCGCGCTTGCTTGCTTACGACCGTGCAAATCTTTCGGTCGTTTTTTAACCACTTCCCGTGATCCAATCGAGCTGACATTTTGCACACAGACTCGTTGTGCGTGACAATTAATGTTCGTGAAAAAAAATGTGAAAAATTTTACACTTTTCAGGACAAAAATATATTTAATTACCAATTGCTTAATGGTGCATGCAATCATCTGACCCATAGGTGGCAGGCCATCTCAAGCCAAAGGACGAGAGGACTCACGCATATAAAGGATTTATAGTGAAAAACTTTGTTTTTACGGGTTATACTTGTTACACCCCCAACCTGCGCACGTTCCGCTTGACGCATCCCACCCCCCGAATCCTATAGAACGGGCGATATATAATCCACGCAGAAACGATCAAGGATTAATAATATGAACGTGTTTTAAGCAAACAGTCCAATGCCGGCCACATTAAAGAATCAAGTTGCGTACCTTGGCCACTTATTTTGCCGAGCTGCGTGATAGCTGCAGTCAGGGGCACAGTGGCACACGAGTGATACCTCTCCCACAGTCCCACTTCTCCCGGTAGTATTTGTCTGACGGCTGACGAAACTGAACTGTGGCTCATTTGAAGACCAATGTAGACAAATTATTATCGAGGCTTCACCCCCCCCCCCCCGTTTCCTATGCGTACATTGTCAGTAGACGCAATCGTACGCATTTGGGTTAACCCCCCCTCCATTCGTACGTACTAAATGGATGGTCCCTAATCATCACGGGAACTGTTTTCTGGTTGGACTTATACTACAGTTTTACTGGTAGGAACCTCCTGGTTACTCCAGCCCACAGGGGATTATTGTTTCCGTCCGTCGTGCAGGGAGGGGCTTGGTGGGGTGGGGAGGGGCTGGGTGGGGAGGGGCTGGTCACCCCGTGGTGCCTTATAAAACTCAACGTTTAACCTACTCACACCGGCTTGTGCCCGCCCTCACAGTCGGGCATATTTGCGGAATACACCACGCCGCCGTTGACCCTGGCCATTGACCGAGCAACCCAACGTTCCTACCAGCTCCCTCCGCAGGAATGTGTTTAATGGCTGAGCACCTCCCACTCATTTGGAGATCGAGACTCAACTTCGCGACGATTGAAGGATCAAACCGATGAAAGGAAGAAATGATGAGATGTGATATTATCAACAGCGTTGCCCGTGATAACTTTTTGACCCCGACTGCTGTAACTGTTTAGTTTTTGGCAGGTAAATAAAGAGTGCAGCATTCAGGTTCACGTACAATTTAGTGCATTTTACGTGTAATTTGCTCTACTGCGAGTATTTAACAAATATCAATAGCACAGCTGTCGAGTGTGCAGGCGGTGTGACTGCACCAGAACACAGACCGTCGGAGAGGCTCAGACGGCCGGGCTCTGAAGGGGGAGGACATCGTGACCCCAGTCTATCTCCTCTCCTTAGTTGTCACCTGGTTGAACAAATAGACTTGACCTCGCTTGACTTCCAACCTCCCAATGCCGTGTTGGGTGGCAGAAGGTAAACATCACGCAGCCCACCTGTTCAGTGGCACATCGCACAACGAATACCATCACTTCGACCTCTTTGGGAATCTTTTCTATATTCGATTTCAAGTGTAAATCACGTCCAAAAACACGGTGCTTTTTAAGGGTCAAAAGACCAGCCACAGAAGAGTGGGACCTGCAATTACTAATGTCAACGAAACGTGGAAGGCCTTTCGCGTGTAAAGTGTGATGTGCTCGCCAAGAGGTTACAGCAAAGAAATAAGTCATATTTAAAACAACTATTTTAAAAACACGCTTTAATGAAATGTGCCGTACGTGTAATGGAAGAACTCCACGACTCCAGGAAGTGGCCCCGAAGCTTGCCACAACGTAAGGGGGACGTGGTGATTGACAGCCAACATCAGTTGAGCGTGGACAATTAGACCAAAGCCGAAACATAACATATAACAAATGAATGTTTAAAAATATGCAATTTTATGATATAATATAATATTGCCATCAGCATGACATAAGTATACCAAGTTTGCAGACGATACCACATTGGGAAGTGGGTTAGAATTGAGTTACAATATTTGAGGATGCAACGACAATAACAACAGACAGAATGAGCCTGTAGCATACTGTATATTATAACGGGGCCCTAAATAAAAACACACATAAATATTAAAAGACAAATGTTTAACTTGCATAGTAAAGTAATTGTATTTTTCATTTGCTATACAGCCGGATAATACGACAAATTGCTAACCTTAAACACCCAGTCGTTTGTAAAAGTTGTAAGGTGGTATAGTACTATAGTAATAGAGCAAGTGCAGAATCACTGAACCTGCCACACACACCACGTGTAGTAGCTGGCCACTCACACCACGTGTAGTAGCTGCCACACACACCACGTGGTGTAGCTGCCACACACACCACGTGTAGTAGCTGCCACACACACCACGTGTAGTAGCTGACACACACACCACGTGGTGTAGCTGCCACACACACCACGTGTAGTAGCTGCTACACACACCACGTGTAGTAGCTGCCACACACACCACGTGTAGTAGCTGCCACACACACCACGTGTAGTAGCTGACACACACACCACGTGTAGTAGCTGACACACACACCACGTGTAGTAGCTGACACACACACCACGTGTAGTAGCTGACACACACACCACGTGTAGTAGCTGGCCACACACACCACGTGTAGTAGCTGCCACACACACCACGTGGTGTAGCTGCCACACACACCACGTGGTGTAGCTGCCACACACACCACGTGGTGTAGCTGCCACGCACACCACGTGTAGTAGCTGACACACACACCACGTGTAGTAGCTGCCACACCACGTGGTGTAGCTGACACACACACCACGTGGTGTAGCTGCCACACACACCACGTGTAGTAGCTGCCACACACACCACGTGTAGTAGCTGCCACACACACCACGTGTAGTAGCTGCCACACACACCACGTGTAGTAGCTGCCACACACACCACGTGGTGTAGCTGTCACACACACCACGTGGTGTAGCTGCCACACACACCACGTGGTGTAGCTGCCACACACACCACGTGGTGTAGCTGCCACACACACCACGTGTAGTAGCTGTCACACACACCACGTGTAGTAGCTGTCACACACACCACGTGTAGTAGCTGTCACACACACCACGTGTAGTAGCTGCCACACACACCACGTGTAGTAGCTGCCACACACACCACGTGGTGTAGCTGTCACACACACCACGTGGTGTAGCTGCCACACACACCACGTGTAGTAGCTGCCACACACACCACGTGTAGTAGCTGGTCACACACCACGTGTAGTAGCTGGCCACACACACCACGTGTAGTAGCTGCCACACACACCGCGTGTAGTAGCTGCCACACACACCACGTGGTGTAGCTGCCACACACACCACGTGGTGTAGCTGCCACACACACCACGTGTAGTAGCTGACACACACCACGTGGTGTAGCTGCCACACACACCACGTGGTGTATCTGCCACACACACCACGTGTAGTAGCTGCCACACACACCACGTGGTGTATCTGCCACACACACCACGTGTAGTAGCTGCCACACACACCACGTGTAGTAGCTGCCACACACACCACGTGTAGTAGCTGCCACACACACCACAGGTAGTACCTGCCACTCACACCACGTGGTGTAGCTGCCACACACACCACGTGGTGTAGCTGCCACACACACCACGTGTAGTAGCTGGCACACACACCACGTGGTGTAGCTGCCACACACCACGTGGTGTAGCTGCCACACACACCACGTGGTGTAGCTGCCACACACACCACGTGGTGTAGCTGCCACACACACCACGTGTAGTAGCTGCCACACACACCACGTGTAGTAGCTGCCACACACACCACATGTCGTAACTGCCACACACACCACGTGTAGTAGCTGCCACACACACCACGTGTAGTAGCTGACACACACACCACGTGTAGTAGCTGCCACACACACCACTTGTAGTAGCTGCCACACACACCACGTGTAGTAGCTGACACACACACCACGTGTAGTAGCTGCCACACACACCACGTGTAGTAGCTGCCACACACACCACGTGTCGTAACTGCCACACACACCACGTGTAGTAGCTGCCACACACACCACGTGTAGTAGCTACCACACACACCACGTGTAGTAGCTGCCACACACACCACGTGTAGTAGCTGCCACACACACCACGTGTAGTAGCTGCCACACACACCACGTGTAGTAGCTGCCACACACACCACGTGTAGTAGCTACCACACATACCACGTGTAGTAGCTGGCAGGATAATCCGACACTGCGGGGTGAGAGAATCTCTCTCTCTGTCAGCGATGAGGGTCGACGGTAGAAATGTCTCCGCGTGAGTGCGGCAAGGATGCAGCAGAGTGGCTGTTCTTACACTGATTTTAAAGATGGGGCGAGTGGGGACCCCCCCCCCACCTCCCACTGCAGCCGATAAGACTTCGCTGTGGGGGGGGGGGGGGGGCGTTTTCACACTTGTTGTTGTGTATTGCTGTGGGGGGGGGGGGGGGGGCGTTTTCATACTTATTGTGTTGTTGCTGTGGGGGGGAGGGGGTGTTTTCAAACTTGTTGTTGCTGTGTGTGTTGGGGGGGGGGGGGTGTTTTCACATTTGTTGTTGTGTATTGTTGTGGTGGGGGGGGGGGGGGGCTCGTCAAGGGGTTGCCGTCACTGAAGGCCACCAGGGGGCCTCCCTGTGCAGCAGCAGCAGCGGCGGCGGCGCCAGCAGAGAGCGCAGTGGAGAGAGAGTTGTGAGTGAAGATAGTTGTGTAGTGAGAGTTGCTGCAGAGAGTTGCGAGTTGCGTTCAACGTCGCGTCTGCACGCACCATGTGGCCGGCGTGCCCCCCACCAGCCCCCCACCAGCCCCCCAACTTGAGAGAGAGCGAGGTGCGTGCCCCCCCAGCCCCCCAACTTGAGAGAGAGCGAGGTGCGGCGGCGGGCGGCTCCGTGGCCAACCGAGAAGTCGTGGACCCCCCCCCACCCACCACCACCATGGCTGTGCACAAGCGTGATGCTCATGGTGAGTGATGATGGTGAGTGATGTTGGTGAGTGATGTTCATGGTGAGTGATGGTTGTCAGTGATGTTGGTGTGTGATGGTGATGAGTGATGTTGGTGGTGAGTGATGTTGGTGAGTGATGATGGTGATGTTCATGATGAGTGATGGTGAGTGAGTGATGTTCGTGGTGAGTGATGTTGGTGAGTGATGGTTGTCAGTGATGGTGGTGTGTGATGGTGAGTGATGTTGGTGAGTGATGATGGTGAGTGATGATTATGGTGAGTGATGTTTATGGTGAGTGATGGTGTTGGTGAGTGGTGGTGGGTGATGATGGTGAGTGATGATGATGAGTGATGTTGGTGAGTGTTGGTGAGTGATGTTGGTGGTGAGTGATGTTGGTGAGTGATGGTGAGTGATGTTGGTGAGTGATGTTTATGGTGAGTGATGGTGGTGAGTGATGTTGGTGAGTGATGTTGGTGTGTGATGGTGAGTGATGTTGGTGAGTGATGGTGAGTGAGTGATGTTCATGGTGAGTGATGATGGTGAGTGATGTTGGTGAGTGATGGTGAGTGATGTTGGTGAGTGATGTTTATGGTGAGTGATGGTGGTGAGTGATGTTGGTGAGTGATGTTGGTGTGTGATGGTGAGTGATGTTGGTGAGTGATGGTGAGTGAGTGATGTTTATGGTGAGTGATGTTCATGGTGAGTGATGATGGTGAGTGATGATGGTGAGTGATGTTTGTGGTGAGTGATGTTGATGGTGAGTTATGTTGAGTGATGTTGATGGTGAGTGATGATGATGGTGAGTGATGATGATGGTGAGTGATGATGTTGGTGAGCGATGGTGAGTAATGATGTTGGTGAGTGATGTTGGTGCCTTTTGTGGGGGGTATTGATGTGAACCGTGGCCAGGAGGAGCAGCAGGAGCAGGAGGCGTCTCCGGGGTTCTCGCCGCCGACGTCACGCGGCTGAGCGCACGGCGGGTGCTACAAGTTCTACACCAGGGGTCGGGAACCTTTTTGACTGGGAGAGCCATAAAAGCCAAATATTTCTAAATATATTTAATTGAGAGCCATATAGTATTTTTAACGTTTAATAAATTAAATATGTTTTACTTTTAATGCGACTTCTGGTGCTGCATGGTTTTGCCGATGGCCTTGTTGTCTGGTTCATACGTGGTGAGATTGAGCTTCATGCAGGCGTGACCCGTGAAATTTATCTTCAAAACTAATTTCTGTTTACTTTAAAAAATGACACAGTATTATTAAACAATATCACAAGTATTTTAAAATCAGTTCCAAACTGATTTTTAATTTTTTAATTATTATTTTTTTCAACTCAAAATTGTCTGGGAGCCATATGCCGTCACTGGAAGAGCCATATATGGCTCGCGAGCCATAGGTTCCCGACCGCTGTTCTACACGGTGACACTTTTACAGTAACAACAAGGTGAAGATTCCACCGTGTGGCCTCGAGCAGACTCGTTGTGGCGAGCAGCACCGATAACGATGTGGCACCGATAACGATGTGGCACGCGAGTCGGGGGTGGTGGGGGGGGGGTGCAACAGCAACCACGCCCGGCCGCCTTTGTCTCCCCAGTGGCGTTTGTGATTTTTTTGTTGTCACACGCAGAGCACCGGGTAACTCATTCGAGGCCGAGTCGACCTAGGGGGAGGCCGACGGTAATCGCCTGCTGATGTTGGTCGTGAGCGGGAATGGCACTTGGGTCGCCGGGTTTGTGATGTCCCTCCACGACGTCACATCACAAAGCGATGAGTGGGGAACGAAGTTTGCAGAGAGACAGAGGAGCTGGGCCAGTCGTGGTAGAGCGGACATCGACATTATCAGCGGATAGAGATTGGCAGCAGCATCACCATCAACATTAGCAGCAGATAGAGATCGGCAGCATCATCACCATCAACATTAGCAGCAGATAGAGATTGGCAGCATCATCACCATCAACATTAGCAGCGGATAGAGATTGGCAGCATCATCACCATCAACATTAGCAGCGGATAGAGATTGGCAGCAGCATCACCATCAACATTAGCAGCAGATAGAGATTGGCAGCATCATCACCATCAACATTAGCAGCAGATAGAGATTGGCAGCATCATCACCATCAACATTAGCAGCAGATAGAGATTGGCAGCATCATCACCATCAACATTAGCAGTAGATAGAGATTGGCAGCATCATCACCATCAACATTAGCAGTGGATAGAGTTTGGCAGCATCATCACCATCAACATTAGCAGTGGATAGAGATTGGCAGCATCATCACCATCAACATTAGCAGCAGATAGAGATTGGCAGCATCATCACCATCAACATTAGCAGCAGATAGAGATTGGCAGCATCATCACCATCAACATTAGCAGCAGATAGAGATTGGCAGCATCATCACCATCAACATTAGCAGCAGATAGAGATTGGCAGCATCATCACCATCAACATTAGCAGCAGATAGAGATTGGCAGCATCATCACCATCAACATTAGCAGCAGATAGAGATTGGCAGCATCATCACCATCAACATTAGCAGCAGATTGAGAGATTGGCAGCATCATCACCATCAACATTAGCAGCGGATAGAGATTGGCAGCATCATCACCATCAACATTAGCAGCGGATAGAGATTGGCAGCATCATAACCATCAACATTAGCAGCAGATAGAGATTGGCAGCATCATCACCATCAACATTAGCAGCAGATAGAGATTGGCAGCAGCATCAACATTAGCAGTGGATAGAGATTGGCAGCAGCATCAACATTAGCAGCGGATAGAGATTGGCAGCAGCATCATCATCAGCTGTGAAATCCACAGCCACTTTTTTCATAATTTCTTGCTGTGGATTTCACAGCTGATGATGATTGCTTGTGTTGCAGTCGAAACGTCGTGAGAATTGTATTGTTTTATATTTTTATTATTTCATTGTTTCCCTTCTACGTGACTTTACCTAAAGAACCAAGAATATATATCTTTAGTGTAAGGTTGGAAACACCGTTTTGTCTAAGTGTGTTGATTACAATCACCGAGGCTCATGTACTGTGGATTTCTGAGTGCAAGCTACATTACCCAGCCTCGCAAGGTGGATAACCACCACTTAGATATACAGTAGTATAATGTTCGCAACTCACGGACAAAATTGCTGGCCCACATGCACTCAGTGTTAACAAAAACAATGCGTGCTATTTTTAGTCACCAGAGTGTTCTCAAAACCACTACTGTCCTATAATTATGACATCTGAGCGGGCTAATGAGCAATTATACTCTTGTTTCCATCACAGTTGAGGTGGATAGTCAATTTTCATTTGGTGTCTTTGTCTGGGACGACATTATTTTTATTAAGCTTGAGAATAATTTAATTCAGGAGAGCAGTTTCACTATTGACCTGCTGACCCGAGTTCAATTCTGGGCCATGGCTAACATCACTGGTGATCAATATCCGAATTGGTCCCCCTGTTCCTCACCCGTGATCCGCACTGACAAGGGTGGTGAATTTCGATTTAAAGCTTTCGTGACGGCAGGGATTCATGTTCTTGGTTCTTTTGGTAAAGTCACGTAGAAGGGAAATAATAAAATAAAAAAAAATAATAAAATAATTCTCACGACGTTTCGGCCACAACGCAAGCAGCCGTCCTCAGGTGAAGACCAGGTCTGTCAGAAAGACCCCATTCAGACACTGTCTTTCCGACAGACCTGTTCTTCACCTGAGGACGGCTGCTTGCGTTGTGGCCGAAACGTCGTGAGAATTATTTTATTATGTTTTATTTTATTATTTTATTATTTCCCTTCTACGTGACTTTACCGAAAGAACCAAGAAGAAGGGTGGTGAAGTATGGCCAAACAACTCCCATGACACAGTTGCGTGGATGCCTTCATTCGGAAGCGGCCTGACATGAGGCTATGAATTATTGATATGATCATCTTACAGTAACAATCGCTGGAATAGCAATGGTGTAAGCCAACGAGGGGTTTGATAAACCAAATGACCCCCATCATGTAAGAGACCTGAACTTCAGGTGCTGAATCTATTGTGAACATCACATGGGGGAGACTTGTGAAGGCCACAAGCTGTGTGGTGTCTTGCCAGGCCTGGGCTTTTTGACCAAACTGCTGTCGCTGCTGCTGCTGCTGTTGCATCCAGTTCGGCACTGAATGGGAGCGTATGGTGTCATTGAATATTTATGAAAACTTTGGAGGTTAGCAAAGGCAGGATAGTGGTTATAGCATGCCTATGTTAACTTCTAGAGTGCTGTTTGTTGATGGCTGCTTGGTATTTTTGGCCTGTGCTTGGCGATAACGATTAATGAAAATGTACATGATGGAACTCCAAACAAAAATGTATTCCTTAAGAGATGTTTTGGAGTTTGGCACAATTGAGTAATTACTTCATACTTACCAGTTATGTGATAATTCACCACTCCCTTAACCAATGATTTATCATGATTCGGAGTCATCTTCTGATTTAAATACTTTTTAACGTTGTGGTGAATGTACTTGTGGCCATGCAACCCAAACTATGGACCACCATAAACCACTGTAGTCTTCGCTTCTTCAACAGAGGAGGAGGAACAGCAAAACCACACAAACTCTCTCCTGAAGTCATCTCGTCGTGGCTAGCAGACCTCGACATTGGCATTTAGCTTTTTCACATATTTCCATACACAAGAACAATACGTCTTCTTGGTTCTTTCGGTAAAGTCACGTATAAAAGAATAAAAATAAAACATAATGTTTTATTATGTTTTTTTTTATTTCCCTTCTACGTGACTTTACCGAAAGAACCAAGAAGATGAATCCCTGCAGTCACGAATGCTTTAAATCGAAAAAGAACACTACGGTTCACATGAACCAACACATACAACATACACAAATGCGCATTATCAGAATTAGCTGTTGGGCATTTAATTCACGGAGGGAAATGCAGAAATTTGGAAGAACAGTGCTGCTGATAGAGTTTTCACAGACCCAACAACTCCAGCGGATGAGAAGTGTGGACGTTTGCCGTCGATGAACGCAGGTTGGACGATCGCCGTCTCTGCGGCCCCTACGGCGTTGCTGCCGAGGACGCGCAGCGGCGGCGGCGGTGGCGGCGGCGGCGAGTGGCTCGGCGATGGTTGGTGAGTGTGGTGCGGCAGTGGGCTGGCGTGGTGAAACGGCCAGTGTTTGGAGCACTGCGGCTTCAGCCTGATTCACAACACCAGCTGCACCGCTGCACCGGGGGGCCCAGAGAACCCTTGCCTGGCGTCGCCCTTCCTCCTCCCTCCTCCTCCTCCTCGGTTGATTCCATTGCACCACCTTGTCCACCTCCACCACCTCCTACGTCTGTCTCGCCCCCACAACCAACTCCATCCACTGTACGTTGCAAACACTGCATATGAATGCATCGGTATACATTTACAAGCATTGAAAGGATGATTAGCGAAACTATATGAGCTCTAAATTTCGATTTAAAGCTTTCGTGACTGCAGGGATTCATCTTCTTGGTTCTTTCGGTAAAGTCACGTAGAATGGAAATAATAAAATAATAAAAATAAAACATGTTTTATACGAGCTCTCTACGGAAGGCCTCTTGCCGTCAGCAGGCCTCGGCGTTGGTGTTTAGCTCATGAACTTACTGTCTTGCCATATGCTAGAATAGAATCCACTGCTGGATGATAGTCTATACCAGGGGTCAGCACCCTACGGTTCCGGAGCCGCATGCGGCTCTTTACGGGCTGCTTCTTGACGATATGTACGTATGTACAGTATGTACTCAGATGCATTGCGGCTCTTGAAATACTGAATTTTGTACCGAATTGGAAAGAAATGGCTCTTCTTGTTATTTTGGTTGCCGACCCCTGGTCTATACTCTCACACATTGCAGGTTGTTTGTCCAAACTTCACCATGCTGATCAGTGAGAGGTTTAGTGAAGGTTGAGAACATAGACAATGCGAGCATAGAAGTATGGCTCAAACACACATTTTGCTGCGCATCATTCAATTTTCCACGATATAACCCTGCCGTCAATAAGGTTTACATACCTGGGCAGTGTGCTTATGACCAACTCTGGTTCTTAAAGCAGAGGCCTCACTCTGAATCAGTCGGGCGGCATTATCTTTCCATCGGCTGTGTATCGCTGTGTGGAAGCTACCTGGTCTGTCGCTCCACATAAAGCTTCGGGTCTTTTCGGCCACAATCGTGCCCTCTCTTCTCTGTGCTTGCGAAACGTGGACCCCCCCCCCTATGAAACATCTGTGCTGGTTAAAAACATTCAGGCTGGCCTGCGTATGATCCATTCTGGGTTTAACAAGGCTGGATTGTCTGAGTAGCTCACAAAATTTTGAAAGATCTGGACACAGTCCCATTGGTGAGCTCCCCCGGCAGGCAATGGTGCATTGGCTGGGGCATGTAGCTTGCATGCCCAGCCACCATATGGCCAAACAGCTTTTGTTTGGGCGGATAGAGGGGGTTAAAAGGGCAAGGTATGGGTTAGTAAAGAGATGGACTGATATGGAACAGGAGGATATGGAGCTGAGTCTACTTACCGATCATTGGTACAAGCAGTGTCAAGATCGGCGTCTGTGGAGGAGGCTCGTTAAGGATGCTACTGGGCAAATGGAGAAACTCGCCCCCCACTAACAGCGGAGGGCAGAGGAGCGATGCTCACAACACGCGCCGGTTGGATAAAACACGGCGAGTTGGCACAGTAGGGGGCACAGGTAGTGCATCTGCTAGTTATCAACTCATTGCACCTGGGTCTGTCGCGTGACCTCTTGCCAGTGATCCTTTGACACTTTACGTGGTCACAAAGTGCATATAGCCTGCCACAAGCGCCGTGGTGACATCACCGCCACTGAGTGGCCAATGGCGGTTGTTGATATGGGCTCCACTTGTTTCTGTAGATGGCTCTCGCAGATTTTACAGATGTATGCACTTGTCATCGGGGCAAGTGGCATTGATTTCAGGCCACACATTCGCTGATGAAGTTCTGTGAAGTCAAAATTTGATAATAATTGTTGATTTTAGATTTAAAGCTTTCATGACTGCAGGGATTCATCTTCTTGGTTCTTTCGGTAAAGTCACGTAGAAGGGAAATAATAAAATAACATAATAATATTTATAAAAATAATAATAAAATAACATAATAATATTTATGATGTTTTATTTTTATTATTTTATTATTTCCCTTCTACGTGACTTTACCGAAAGAACCAAGAAGATGATTGTTGATCTTAGATTTACGGTGATTTGGAGTGTTTTCAACATCCAACCCTAAAGAATAACTGGCACATATCAGGAAAAGCAGGGCTGTGTTCTATGTGACTTCAAGGAAGGGCTTGATGTAAGAACAGAGCTTAAGAAAACGTAGTTTCCTTGTTATAGTTTGTTTTTCCATGGGTAATGGTGTTTCTGGAGGTATGGAAGTAGTATAGAGTAAATCCTGATAACCATAGCAATACTTGGCTGTACGTGGTGTGTGTGTGTACTATATATGCATTATCTGCGGGGAGCGGTGGCACAATGGTTAGTGAACTGCGTTAATAACCCGGAGACCCGAGTTGAATCGGTACTGTGCCTCCCCTAGGTCGACTCGGCCCCTAAATGAGTGCCTGGTGCGATGTGTAACCATCGCCACTTTGGAGACAAATGCTGCCAGGCGTTGTGCTGGCCACCCACCCCCTCGTGTGCAGTTTCGGCCTTTGTAGGTGCTTCCTAATAGCACTTGCTCCAACAGTCTGTCCTGTCTAAACGTGGTGTCTTTGTCTCTGGCAAGGCATTCAATTATGGAATCCTCGGCCTGAACAAAGGCGAGAAAAGGGAAACCGAAAATTCAACGGGAGAAATGAGACGGTGAAATGAAGCGGAAAAATGGAGTGAAAATACCCACGCATAAAATGCGCGCACACGCGAACATCATCACGCGCTAACATCATCACACGTGAACATCATCACGCGTGAACATCATCACAGGAACATCATCACGTGGACATCATCACATGAACATCATCACACATGAACATCTTCACACACTAACATCATCACGCGAACATCACGCGAACATCATCACGCGAACATCATCACACGTGCATCATCACGCGAACATCATCACACGAACATCACGTGAACATCATCACATGAACATCATCACGCTAACATCATCACGCCAACATCATCACGCTAACATCATCATCACGTGAACATCATCACGTGAACATCATCACGTGAACATCATCATCACGTGAACACCATCATCACGTGAACATCATCACGTGAACATCATCATCACGTGAACACCATCATCACGTGAACATCATCACGTGAACATCATCACGTGAACATCATCACATGAACATCATCACGCTAACATCATCACGTGAACATTATCACGCTAACATCATTACGTGAACATCATCATCACGTGAACATCATCATCACGCTAACATCATCACGTGAACATCATCACGCTAACATCATTACGTGAACATCATCATCACGTGAACATCATTACGGGAACATCACGTGACCATCATCACATGAACATCATCACACGAACATCATCACGCGAACATCATCACACAAACATCATCACGCGAACATCATCACGTGAACATCACATGAACATCACGTGAACATCATCACGTGAACATCATCACGCTAACATCATCACATGAACATCATCACATGAACATCACGCTAACATCACATGAACATCATCACGCTAACATCATCACGTGAACATCATCACAGGAACATCATCACACGAACATCATCACGTGAACATCATCACGTGAACATCATCACACGAACATCATCACGCTAACATCATCACGTGAACATCATCACATGAACATCATCACACGAACATCATCACGTGAACATCATCACGTGAACATCATCACATGAACATCATCACACGAACATCATCACGCTAACATCATCACGTGAACATCACACGTGCATCATCACGCGAACATCATCACAAGAACATCATCACACGAACATCACACGCGAACATCTTCACATGAGCATCATCACACGTGTATCATCACACGTGCATCATCACACGAACATCCTCACACGAACATCATCACACGCAAACATCTTCACATGAACATAATCACGCTAACATCACATGAACATCATCACTGCTAACATCATCACGCTAACATCATCACACGAACATCATCACGTGAACATCATCACATGAACATCATCACACGAACATCATCACGCTAACATCATCACGTGAACATCATCACATGAACATCATCACACGAACATCATCACGCTAACATCATCACGTGAACATCACACGTGCATCATCACGCGAACATCATCACAAGAACATCATCACACGAACATCACACGCGAACATCTTCACATGAGCATCATCACACGTGTATCATCACACGTGCATCATCACACGAACATCCTCACACGAACATCATCACACGCGAACATCTTCACATGAACATAATCACGCTAACATCACATGAACATCATCACGCTAACATCATCACACGAGCATCATCACACGAACGTTTTTGTATTTGTTTAAAACATATCATCGCCATGCACCAACCTTGAATTTAAAGAAAATAATTAGGTCCTACATGTATTAGCCGAGATAAAATATGTAATTTACAATGACGCTAATAATACATTCCTTAAAAGTTTTAGCATTTTAAAAGTGAAAACAGTCAGACTCGGTCCAGATTTAGATACCAAATTGCCACTTGGATGGCAAGGCAAAAAGAATCGCACCAAAGACAAAGATCCCCCGTGTAGTCTCAACAGACTGTTGGGGCAAGTGCTGTTCGAGAGCACCTATGAATGCCGGGATGGCACACAAAGGGATGCTTGGAAAACACCATACCCGGCTGCCTTTGTCTGACCAGTGGTGACGCTTACACACCCCACAAAGGAATTAAGGGTTTAGGAGACCTAGAATCGCACCAAAGGTAAAGATGCCCCCCTTTTAGCCTTCACAGACTATTGGGGCAAGTGCCTTGGGGCAAGTGCGAGCACCTATGAAGTCTGACACAGCACACGAGGCGATGGGTGGTCAGCACCATGCCCGGCCGCCTTTGTCTTCCCACGGGCGATGATCATTGTCACTGGTGGTTGTTGGCCGTGAGCGAGAATGGAACTCGGTTCACCGGGTTCGTAGCGCGGCGCGTTAAACGCTGCACTACCGCACACCACACACACACACTTCCCACACATGAATGTGTGGGAATTATCTCTGCTTGCCTCCGTTGGAGCATGGCAAATAAAACTCATTTGATATTCTTGCAGAATTGAAACAGAGGCGGCGGGTGGAGGGGTGGGTGATGGAGAAGGGGATGTGGTGGGGGTTTAGGATGGGAGGGGAGGGAGGCTAATGGTGGGAGATGGGAGGGGAGATGTGAGAAGGGGTTCAATACATGGCAGGGTGAGGGAGATACAGTGAGCAGTGGTACAGTGCATGTTGCATGGCACAAAATGTGATGGAACGCGCACCACCCGTGCGTGTACATGCTTTATCTTGCTATTTCCATACGCTCACGAAATAATAATGCACGGTGAACTCCCCATTTTTTTGGGTGTGCATTTTGGTAATGACGCCCAGCCCACAATGTGAACAAATGTTGATGTTCCGGAAAAAAGGAATTGTATTTGATTAGGCGTGTTGTATGTTATATTTATTTAGCGCTGGATTGCGACGCTGATCCTCCAGGGGCCTTTGTTAGCTCCACAGCTGATTCGGTTGGGACGTCTGCCTGAGCACAATTCTTCTCTGGCTCGCCACCAGGAATATTAATTTGACAATGAGTCTATCGACGCCTTGCGTGGCCTGTCGCTTGCCACGCAGCCTGAGCGATGGGGCTGACACGATGCATCGGTTAATGCATCGATGAATATTGTTTTATTTTAGCTTGCGATGCACAAAAGCGAATTGCTAGTGTGAGAATATATGTTTTGTACGTTGCATGAAATGGGTTTGTGTGACCACTCTAGGCACTACAGGCTGCTATAATCACCACCAGTGCTAAAATAATATTTTGATTCGTTAAAAGTATGCCGCTAAATCACGACAATTCATTAAATCATTGCTCCCACACTGCTTACCAACAACTGTGCCCGTTCGGGTAAAATGTCATCGCTATCGCCATATTACAATTTCTGATTCTCGTTAACGTGTTTAAATACTGGGGATTGCCGTGGTATTTATCATGTTGTTTCTGTCCTGTAATACTATTGAAAAATAGTCTTATTGTAATTATTCCTAGGAATTTCCACGCTCCAATCTTAATTACCACTTTGCAGTCTCAATCAATGCAGTTAATGCAAAAGACCACTCTTAGATTGCTCTTGGTGCCCTGTTAGCAAACCTCACCCCCTGTCAATCGGGCATCACCTTACATCACCCGGGACACCCCTGTCATCTGGCAGAAGGCTTCGCCACTTGTCCAGCAATTTGCCACAAATGTATTGTTTCTTATGAGATTCAAAGAGTTGTGGTGTTAATATCTACGAGGTAAACTACGAGGGGTGGTCAACTGTCTAAAGTCATTTGAGAATGAGATGTTCAAAAGTTTTAGCATCCAAAATTAGAGCATTTATTATTATTATTAGAATTCACTTTTTGTTAGGACGTTGACTCACATATTTAAACCTGAGATAGAAAATATTGGCAAAATTGCAGTCGTGTTCCTATACTATTGCCAATGGATTATGATCATATTAATTAATAACTTAGATTTTTTTTTTTACTCCCAATGGCGTGTCGGTCATGTGGGTTGCATTGAGCATACTTTTGCAAGGCCGTCAGCTGGAACACGTGAAGGTGGATGCAGGCACCGGTTGAGATGTCGCTCGCCACCGATGCTGGGCGTGGACAAGGAGACCAACTCAGGTTGCCGGTTTGATTGCGCAATGCGCTAAATATTGTGCCACCGCTCAAATCCATTCAGGTTGCCGCATTGGGTTGCATGACAACAAGTAATAATTCACCACCCTTGGACAATCCACTGTTGGACTACGATGTTGAAACGTTAATGTGGGGGGATATACAATTTTGAACTTGGATGTATGATATTTGAGACATTTTGATATTTATATTTAAATTTGTGTACGAAAAATATTGCCGTTGAGAAAAAATGTGCACGTCATTTTTTCTAGATGTGTATAAAATGTCTAATTTTATTCATTTTGATTTTCAGAACTTCTCTCTATCGCATTACTGCGGTCATCTTCGAAGGCTCCGAGTGGAAGTCCTCTTCCCATTCTCCGCCTAATGTCCGTCGTGCTCAGCATGCTGTAGGCGTAAGATGGTACTGCATAAGCGTACTCACATGTAAAGAGAAAAGATCACTGATTTAGTCTTACTGTTGTGGCAGGTTCTGTCGGCGAGCACCTATTCAGGCCAGCAAAGCACACGTCAGCTGGAACACGTAAATATTCTTTACCGCATCATACCTAGTAGAACATTGGAGCAATGGTTAGCGCATTGCGCTATGAACCCGGCGACCTGAGTTCGATTCCCAGCCACGGCTAACATCAGTGACAATTTTATATCTGAACTGAACATGGTGTAGGGAGACCATCCAGTCGTGGACTGGATTTGATGTAATATTTGACTCATTTTAGGCTAAGCCAACTTACGAGAATTCCAAAGCCGGTTTCGGTTACCAATTGCCACTTGAGTGCAGAACCGGGAATCAAACCCCTTGTGTTGGGATCGTAGCGCAGTGCGCAAACCACTGCTTCCCGCACACGCCGCACACACCCACACATACAGTGCACTTCCTAAATTAAAGAAATAATATTAAATTGACCCACATTGTGAATGGACATAACCACTCAAATTATTTAAATTTGACTGGCATTGTCAGCAGATGCAGGCAAGCAAGACTTATTCAATTTGAAATACAATTGAAGGTAATATGGAGATTGGCTTGGAAAAATTGCTCAAATATGAAAGAAATTGTCTCTTTTGTCCTCGTTGACCTACGAGTGAGCACTATGGAATACGGATTATAGTGGTATACATGAGAAGATAGGCATATATGTGATAACCACGATACTTATGTTTTGATAGCAGCAGAGATTAATGTATTTTTGTATTGAAACTAAATTAAAAAAGCTAGTAATGTGGATATTACAACATTATAATCGGTCCTTGTAGCATACGAACTGATTTAGAAAAAAAATTACACGTAAAAAATGCCATTTTATGAAGCAATATCCTAAGTTTTGGATTTATAAGACGAGTGATCGTATGTTGGAAAGAGGCAGAATTTTCTGCGTTTTGAACAATGATCCCAGAACCACGCCCTGCAGCAAAAAAAGAAAATGTTTTTGGAAAAACACCAAAAAACGGGTTTAATGGTTTTTAGTGGATGGCACTGAGACCAGGTACTGTAGCGCTGGCCCAGTAGCCGCCCATCTCTTGAAATTCGGTAGAATTCGGTAGAATTTCAAGCGAGGGGCGGCTACGATTGTGTGGGTTTTCCGCAAATCCTTACAGAAGTTGAGACGGTGAAATTTGTTTTAAGAGGTCGAATGAATGTAAGATGCTGTTTGCAGGATTTTTTTTGTAAACCTCATGATTGCGCTGTACGGACTCGCGACATGACTGTTATTTGGTTAATCACGGTGGCAGTGAAGAAAATGTGAGTAATGCTGTGAACCCGAAAGACTAAAGAAAATATTCGGCAAAACGACGACAACGTGGATCGTGATGGCAGTTCCAACGACGATTTTAAATGACAATTGAGTCGAAGATGACAACCATTAAGATGAACAAAAAAAACATAATGATTGCTGGTACAGAATAAGGCGACCACAAAGGCATTTGATATATTGATCGAACAATAGAATCATCGATCCCCATATAGCTAACGGCATTTCCCGACCCCTCCCCCAATCAGGCGGCAGCACGCGAGAGCCTACAAGATGTCTGAAGAATCACCTCCCGAGCGCCACCGCCCAAGCGTCGGACCGTTAGGCGCGAGGCTTCACGCGCGGACGGCGGGACGAGGAGAAAAATCGGTGGCGGGCCCCAGTGGTCCTGTCGCGCCCGCCGGTGGCCGCCGGTCCGGGTGGTGGCGGCGCGGGGTCCCGTTTCCGGGGCCTCGGACGGCACGTTTCCCGTCGAGCGCGCTTTTCGCATCGACCGTCCGCCATTGCTTCCAACCACGCCCAGCATCAACCCACTCAGAAGCGAGGAGCACGGTTTTCGGTGGATTTCCCCATGTGTTTATGCATGCAGATATTCCCCTCGTATATATACACACAAATACGTGTGCTCGGCTTATCGGTCCATGTATTTGAACTGTCAGTTGATTTCCTGATGTCTTTCAAACACATACACTGACAGGTTGGTATACTCCATGAAAAAAAATTGGCATTTGCTTGTTTTACTTTAATTATATATTTAACCTTCCTTTGTGTTTGTTCCAAGCGTTTTGCTCGTGGGTATGCACCATCGAATTCTAAAGGTTAACCGCGAACAACAGATAACGATTGCTGGTCAAATAGCTCAATTTAGTTCATTTGTCTTAGTGAAATTGCATCAGCAAACTCGTTGCGTTGTAGGTTGTCAGGTATCAATTTTGTCTTCCTTATATATGTAATTTACTGCGTCGTAGTTATCACAATTTTTCGTTGCAACACAAATTAATGGTGCCAATTCAAATGATAAAACGTTGAAGAAACGACGCCTGAAAACCACACCTTAAAAATTACTTCATGTAATATAGGCGCACATGCTCGATTCCGGTTTTCAATTAATAGAATTAAATATATTATTACAATCTCACCGTTTTACGCACTTTATTTTATCTTCCACGACGGTGAATTTAGCGTTCGCCGCAATAATGTGTTCGATTTGATTGTGTCACCGTACCTTAATCTGTGCAAGCGATGCAGGATTGTTTTATTTTTTTTATCCCAGGGCCCTTGTGCCTTCATCCGTCAACTGCGCGGAGCGAGGGAGCGCCGCCGCCGCTGCTGCTGCTGCTGCCGCTGCCGCTGCCGCTGCCGCCACCGCACTCAGCTCTGCAAGTCGGAGACGTGTGACCGTGCGCGCATGCACGTGAGAGCGCGAGCGCGGGCACACGCAAGCACGCACGAGGCAAAGACGCGGACTTGCGTCGATCCGTCACGCGCAGGCGCGAGGGTACACCCTTCGGTGGCACCCGCACGCCCACGTGCGCACCCGCCTCACCCTCTTGCCAGCCTGCCTGCCCGCTCCGCGCAAGTCGCAAGCGCACGTGCACCCCCCAAAGCTCTTGCACGCGAGCTGCCACGTGAGCGCGAATGCACGGTGCAGGTGGACGTGCTCGTGGTGGCCCGAGGACACCCATCTTCCCGCGCGTGCCGTGCGCACGCTCGCAGGCGCAGCAGCGTGGCCTGAGCGAGCCGCGCTTGACTCCGCGATGCTGAGTCGATGCAGCCTGACGGACTGCCTGCCTGCCTGCCTGCCTCGCTGCCTGAGAGGCAATTCCCTGTCACCAACCTAAATGGCTGCATTTCTGCCTAAGTTGCTGCCCGGACGGCTGGTTTAGTGATTGTCTACTGGATCAGCCTACAAGACTGCATGCCTGCCTATGTGGTTGCCTGATTTCCTAAATTACCGCCCGCCCGCCCGCCCACCAACCTTGATGGCCGGATTCCTAAGTGGCTGGCTGCCTATCTGCCTGGCTAAGTGACTGAATGCCTGCATGGCTGCCTTTACCCCACCCGCCACCCCGACACCCACCCACACACCCAACCTTTCCGCTGTAGGTAGGGTGTCACGCACGCACATCCCACGCGCACGCTACGTGCAGGCACGCGCACACGCTCACGCCCTCGCCACACATCGCGCACACGCGCGCACACCAGGGAATAGTGCTGCGCCACACTGTGGCAGACCGTGGTGGCCAATTAACAGTGTGAGCGTGTGGGAAATGCTGGTATTTGCTGGGCTGCTTGGGGTTGGGGAGGAGAGTAGGGGTTGGTGGCCCAGAGGGGAGTGAGTGGGGGGGGGCAAGGGGAGCTGAGCGCAGGGTGCGCATGCGTAGGTGTCCGTGCGTGCACGCACGCACGCACGCAAGCTCCGTTATCTGACGTCTACTGAGCCAGCAAGATAATGTTGGCCACTGCCGCTCCGCCCGTATCTAAATCCTTAAAAGATGAATTTGCTTTGCGCCTGCCTGACCCGCCAGTCATTTATCCCCCCAAGTGTCAAATCGCTGTCGTGGGTCGGCGCCTCAAAAGAATAATAATACGTTCGACTCAACACAATCAATATATACAAAATTAATTCGCATGATTGTACGTATTAATGTATTGTGCGTCATGTTCGTCCCGTGGAATGCACTCGCGTGCATGCTGCGAGTGATCAAAATGTTTTGAGAAGGGAGCATAAAAATGTCTTAACCGCCGCGTGTGAGGTTTCAGTGCACCCTATTGATATAGCTCAAGCGCTTCATCATTGTAGATGGATTTTAAATTTATATTAATCAATACGAGCCACTGCATAATTTCAACATTCCCACGTACATATATGGCTGTGACCCAAGTTATTTTGATACAGGTAAAATAACGAATGTCTTATTATTACATGCATTATCGATCCTAGATTTCTAGCCGTAATTATATTGTACTCTAAATTAATTAAATATTGGCATTAAATTCAGTTCTCATTGCTTTGCAAGCATGTATTGAGAATTGATGTGATGCATGAATATTTAATTGTTTCAAATCCTCTGTATATACATTCTGGGGTTGCCGCAGGTGATGTCCGTGTGTGAATTAAGAGCTCAATGTAAATGTGTACACGAAGGGGAAGATGTTATACATATGCAGATGGAACGTTCCAAATATAATACCACATATAATGGCGTTAAACCAATACACACGTGTGCTGTATAAAATTTGGGCCATGTAAAATTTGCTAATTTTGTTTACAACGAAATAACCTTGCTTGTGCCCGATCTCATCAGATCTTGAAAGCTAAGTAGGTTAGAGCCTGGGTAATATTCGGCTGGAAGGGAGTAGCAGGTATTATAGGCTTGGGTTGCGAGATGGCCATGAGATAGCAGGACCATATTGGATTGACTCTGTCTGTGTGGAGCTTTTTGGGTGTTAACTCCCTTGTTACGTGTGGATTATCTCCAGGTATGACAGGTTCTTCTCACATGCTAATGACTCAGTGAAGGAATGGGGCAAACATCCAAATGCAGGACCCTGTGTGGGTTAATAAAAGGGATCATTATCTTGAACTGTAAATGTCAACATTGTTCGGTGTCGTTTTGCACACAAATTACCCGGACACAATCCTGTTTTAGGAATGCATTGATCAAAAAAAAGCCGCTTCAGACTTTAGAGGCTCGGGGCAATCCAGAGGTGGATTAATACACTGGTTAGGCACACCATACCGAGTTCGATTCCCGACCCTCCCCCCCACGCCCTCTCCTGTCACAAATCTGCTTTGACCGCCATGGTGAATTATGTTCAAACCAACCAGAATGACTGACAACAGCGTGGAGGGCCTTTATCCAGCAGTTGATTGATGAAGACGTGTAAACGATCGTTTTCATAATCCACGAATAGGGTTTGCAACCACATTCTTAACAGATGCAAACGTGGGTTGTCGCTGAATTCTGGAGCAGGGTTTGGATCGAGGAGTGAGTTGTCGGTTGACAATGGAAATGAATGAGGCGGGTGTGTCCACTTTGGCCGAGACTGCGAGGACACAGAGCGAGCGATAGGGGGCAATGAACACTCATAGACAGCCGGTATTTTGAGTAAATAGCCTGCAACTGGATCTATCTCTCTCACAGACACACTTCTGCAAAGAGAGTAAAAAAAACCCTCCACTTATTCTAGACTTGAAGCTTTCGTGACTGCAAGGAATCATATTCTTAGGTGTTTTCGGTAAAGTCACGTAGGTAAAACATAAAAATTAATAAAATAATAAAATAAAAACAAAGATCACGACGTTTCGGAGGCAACACAAGTCTCCGTCATCAGGTGGGACAGTCACAGCCAGATCAGCTGCATTGCCTCACTTGATGCAGCTGATCTGGCTGTGACTGTCCCACCTGATGACGGAGACTTGTGTTGCCTCCGAAACGTCGTGATCTTTATTTTAATTTTATTATTTTATTAATTTTGATGTTTTACCTACGTGACTTTACCGAAAACACCTAAGAATATACCTCCACTTATTCTTCATAAAAAATAACACGTCTTTTTCCCCAATTCTTTCTACTCCAATTGTGCTATCAGCATCATGTCTTAAGATGAGGAATCAATTCAGAACTATCGTAGAGCAGTGCAACCATTATTATAGAGAGCCACCAACAGAAGTGGATTCCACAGAGATAGCTACCTCGGAGATCTCTACAAGTGACCTATGTACCACACAGTAGCGGCCAGCAATTTTCCACCCACTCTGCCATTGAGATTGATGATAGTCGCATGGCAGTCAAGCTAACATTTTTAGTTCTCGAAGCTAGGACTTAGCCATTTTATGTGCAATGCCAAATTTCACGTGATGGATTTTTTTTGCTTAGTCATTGTTGACAATAATGTGACCACCAACGCACCACTACATTTGAGAATCCGATTTTAATAATGGGCGACTGAAACCCAGACTCGCATCGAGGAATCTGAGCAGTGCCAGCTCATACGGTAAAGTCACGAAAGCTTCAAATCTAGAGGGCCAGCTCAGTGCTCAGACCTCTGAGCCACCCGGCCACTTCTCCATTTATTCCTATTGCATGGGCCTTCAGTGCTGTCTGTAACAAGTTATCACGGTTGCCACCAGTGACGGACTGGGACAAAAAATTGGCCCAGGCATTTGTCAACACACGGGGCCCAAATTTCCGCATGATCTCATTGGCCCATTTTGGACTGGTCCACAACGCAAATGGGGCAGGTGAGGAATAATCTTTGGGGCTGCCGAATACGGGACTTGATGCCAACTGAGATCATACATAAGCAATTAAGCTTACACATTAGAGGTAATAAAACATGTATATTTTTACTCTGATCACATTTGCAATTTCCGTACACAGACCGGCCCACCGGTACTCGGAATGGACCAGCACCCCGGGCATTTACCCTAAGGACTGCTCCCCAATGGCCAGTCCGAGGCTGGTTGCCACGGCACGTGAGGCAAAGCGTGGTTGCCAGCATTAATTCCCATCCACTTTTGTTTACCTTCTGTTGATGTGTGCACATTGCACCATCAATTTATTTTCGGCCGAATCAACTTAAAAGAAATTCGGACAACAATTGCTATTGCTGTAATTTGCAGTTTAACTGAGTGAATTAAACACGAGTCTCTTGCACAGTGGCAGACCTAAGGATAAACACACAAAGCAATAGCTTGGATCCCAAAAGAGATCAAGGGAATAATTTACAAATAGGGGAGTTGTGTTCCTGTTGTCAAAGATGATCTCAAATATGGCCTTTTATCACATCTCTCTTTGCAGAATTTACATCTGGCCTGCATCTCTTTTCTACACTCCATCTCTTGAGTCTTGCTTCTCGCCTGCATCTCTCTCATTTCACTATATCTCTGTCTCATTCGTATCTCTCTTTTTTAATGTCACTACACAGCTATCTTTTTCTGATTTGCATTCATCTCACCACGTTGCTGTCACCTTATCTCTTGTCTATATCTCTTCTGTTATCTCACGATGAGTACATCAATACATCTAAGTTGTCTTGTGGTTGTTGTTGTTGTTGTTGTTTGACTGGCATCCCACTGGGATTTTTGCACAGCGTTGGTGTACGGTGTTTTTTCTGCAATATTTTGCTGTCTTTTCTTGGATTTTCTGTTTGCACTTAGTCACATATTCACTTTAAGATGTTTTTTATTCATGTTTTTGTTTTTTGTTTGTTGCGGTTGCACCCGATTCAAGAGCCGAATGGCTCACAGGGCTATACCTAATAAATGAACTTGAATTGAAGGTGGGGGCCTCAAGAACAAATGGGACTGCACAACCAAATTCCTCTTGATATGCAAATTATTTTGTCAAGACGCTTTTCCCCCTCCAACCCAGCTTAAATATACGCTCCAAGCCTGGTGGTGTTTCATTCAGACGCTGTCTTTCCGACAGACCTGTTCTTCACCTGAGGACGGCTGCTTACGTTGTGGCCGAAACGTCGTGAGAATTATTTTATTATGTTTTATTATTTTATTATTTCCCTTCTACGTGACTTTACCGAAAGAACCAAGAAGAAGCATCCCCTGTTTAGCATTAACAGACTGTTGTGGAAAGTGCTGTTAGCGAACACCAATGAAGGCTGGAACAGTACACATGGGGGAGGAAGGGCCAGCAACCACGCCCGACCGCCTTTGTCTCCCCAATAGCAACATTTACACACTGCATCAGGTACTCATTTGAGGCTGAGTCGACCTAGGGGAGGTCCAGGAACAGTTCATATAATCGTCACCGATGTTGGCCGTGAGCGGGAATCGAACTCGGGTAACCGGGTTCGTAGCGCAGCCCGCTAACCTCTACACTACCGCTCCCCACAAAGACACAAACTCCCACAATCCTGTTGTATGCATACACGGGAAAATCCATGATAAATCCATACCTGCTGCTGCGTGTGAAGATACGCCTGACAATGAAATTATATACATTCCATAATTCACAATTTTTTTTTTACCATTCGATGATGTGGTTTGGCGGCTGCACGGCAATATTTGCATTAAGCAATCTGCATTGGTCTCGCAAACCACACTGATTATTTCGTGGTTCAACGAGTGCCGGATTAAGCTAGTGCGGGCCTGTAGCATATGTTATAAAGGGGCCCTAGATTAAAAAAAACATTAAAACACATTTTTTACTTGCATAGTAAAGTAATTGTATTTTTTCATTTGCTATACAGCCAGATAATATGACAAATCGCTAACCTTAAACACCCAGTCGTTCATAAAAGTTGAAGGCAGTATAG